TTGCCACGTAGTCGGTTGGCCTTAGGGTTGATTGGGGCTCCGAAAATCGACTTGGTCGCCTGCAGTGCGACTGTCGGTCTGGCATCACTTTTAGAGCCAGGTGGCTTAGTCGCTGGTTTGGCGCTAAACCTGGATCCGCCGGTAGGCTGTTGAGCCATCGATTTGGGATCCATGTGGGTTAGTAACTGTACAGGGGTTATGTCCGGCGGTTTAGGTTCCGGTCTCAGGTCAGGTGAGTTGCCGATACTCCCCGAACTTAAGCGTTTCCCGCGGTTGGGCTGGCCCGGTTGGGGCCGCCTCCGCTGCCATTTGGCTTCACCAGCTGGTCCGGTATGGGTGGTAGCGCTGGCCTTTCATTGGCCGGCGTTTGGTATCCCTGCTTTGGACCATTCTGCCGGTTGCCGCCACCGGACCCATTTCCTGAGCCGGTGGATTGCCTTCGGCTGCCATTCCCCCCATTGCCACGTTGTGGTCTGGGTTGTTTGGGTGGCACTAAGCCGAAGCGGTTAGGGTTTGCTGACCCGGTAGGGTAGCCCTTTGTGTAACGGCTCCGCCAATCCAAGTACCACTTTCGGTTTGGATTTTCGGAGTGAGGCCTGTTTGCATAGCCACAGCCGTCGGTTGTGTGGTTTCCCCACAGGCAGTGGCTGCAAGTGATGATTCCCTCTTTGGCCCATCGTTCGAACATGCGCTCGACTCGGTCGATGTACATGTCCTCTTGTCTGCGGGCCTCTTCGGGGCTCAGAGTTTGGCGTTGGCCACTCTGGCCTCCGTTGCCTCCTGGGCTTCGGTTCTGTCCCCCAGGGCTATTGCCGCCTTGGCTTCCGCTAAAGCTGGCGTTTTGGCCCTTGGAGAATTCGCCCTTTGGCCCTCCGCTACTGTTGCCCTGACTGTAGCCAAAGTTGCGCTGGTTTTGGGCCTGGCCATAGCCGCCACTACCGCCGTTGGGCGGTGTGGGCCCACGTTGTGGGGAGGCTAAGTTCAAGGCTGCGATGGCGGCGTATGTTGCCTCGATTTGGGCTTGCGTCGCTTGTGGGGGATATAGTGCCGGTTGTTGTGGTACGACTTGGGCTGGTGGCGTTTGTATGGCCGATCGGATGATTGGGTATCCGCGGCCCGCCTTCCCTTCGTACTCCGGCTTCCCCATAGTGTATTGCCGGACATAGTCCCGGAAATCTGCCGGTGACTTTGGTATCCGGATATCCAGAGCGCGGCGCAGTTCTGGCTCTTTCACGTTTTCCCTCAGAAAGTGAAGGGTCATCGTGTCGTCTAGGCCAGCGCGCGTCTGGAGAGTCAGCATGGCGTCATAATACTGCTCTGGGGTTTCAGACCCGTGCTGATAATACCGGTGCGTAATTTCCCCCATGGCAGTGGCCTGCTGATTGTCATCGCCGTAGCGAGTGGCGAATTTCTGGAGCCACTCTTCCACTGTCCAGCCGTCTTCGTCTTCACGATTGGCTTGGCCAGTGTACCATTCCTTTACAGGGTCCGATAGGGCCATGTAAATTCGGCTCATGAAGTCCAGATCTGGTTTGTTCAGATCGGACGACTGCTTACAGATCCGTCGGACCTGTGCAAGCCATCCTTTCACCATTGTTTTGTTGCCGTCAAATTTTGGCAACACGGTGCGGACTTGAGCTCTCGCATTTGCTTTTCCCATCTCTTGGGCCATCTTCTTGATTTGCTCTCTGGTTGAGAGAGAAGGACTGGCCGGTGGCGACGGGGCAGGTGTTAGCTGCAGTGGTATCTGCGGCACCTGCTGGGGTTGAGCCAACATTGGCTGTCCCGGTATAAGCTGGATGGCCCCGTTGGACGCCATCCATCCATATGCTCCATTGGGGAGTTGGACCAACATGGGCGCATTGTGGCCCTGGCCTGGTTGGGCTGCCGGTCCTGGTGGCGTGACCGCTGTTGGCGGTCCGCCTAGTGGTTGGGGCACGCTTTGGCCCATGGGCACATTCTGGCCCATCTGCGGCTGAGCTTGGCCCGTTTGGGCTGCCGCCGAGATAGGAGGGCCAAATAGGCTTAGTTGGCCTACTAGTGGTTGTTGCACCGTTGGTGTACCACTTTGGCCTCCCATCTGTCCTTGTGTGGCCGGTGGTCCGAACATTGGGCTCAGCGGGTTGGTCCGGTTTGGATCCATGCCGCTGGTGTGAGCCTGGCTTGTTGCCGGATGTGGACTAAAACTGAAGTCCATGTTCGGGAATATGGACGGATACAAGGACGGATACGGTGGCCTTGACCCAAAGTAGCTGTGGCTGGGTATTGCCTGGCTTGGGTCAAAGCCTGGCCCGCTTGACGTAGACGGATGAGTCTGCGTTGCGGGTGTCACTATCGTCGTTGGACCGATAGTGGCTGTTGTGGTGACCGGGATTGGTGGTGGCGGCAGCGTTACTGTCGCCGTGGATGATCCCTGGTTCACCGGGCTGGGAGGTGTCGGTATGGTTGGCCCTGTTGGGGGATGTCCAACCGATGGTCCTTCCACAGCCATATTAACATGGTAGTTCTGCTGGTGATACACTGGCTCGCGGTAGAAGCGTTGGCCCTGCCGCAAAGCCTCGTCGACTTTTTCTTGTCGACGCTGTGTATCCGAGTCCGGAAAGGTATGGTAGGACGGTGGTTCTGCGGACAACTCGGAGTTTATGTCTGCGAGGTGTGATTTTTCCGCATCTAAGCAGGCGTTCTCCGTGCTTAGCCTTTCCAGGTCCTCGTTAAGTTCGGTTATTCGTTGGGTGGCCGCCTGGTAGTCTTTGACCAGGCCGGCATTATTGGCCTCCAATGTGATGATCCGGTCATGTTGGCCCTGGATCACCTGTTTGGCTTGGTTGAAGGCCTGCTCCAGTTGGACAAAGTTTTGGTGTCCAATGGCGCTGTTTTGCTCAAGTTGGACCCGAATGGTTGATTCGGTCTTGAGCTGGCTCTGGAGGGCAACAATCTGTTGCTGGAGTTGCACGTTCTGTGCCTCCTTCTGTTGAACCGTTTGGCTCAACAGTCCTCCTTGTTGAATCGTCTTCATGAGATTTTGGTGGCTCTCATAAAGAAGATTATAGCCGTTGCGCAGGCGATTGATTTCGTCCTGCAGGTTGGCCAAGTCGTCGGTGAGACGCTCATTTTCATTCGAGAGGCGGTCCGCCTCTGAATCGGTTTCATCGATTGTGGTCCGGGCCGCAGTCAAGTCGTCCTTGGCTTTGGCCAGCTCAGTCCTCGTAGAGGTGAGCAAAGCTTCAAGTCCCGCCACTGCCATTTCTAGGCTGTGGATTGTCCTCTTGAGCTGGTCTCGCTCGGCGTTGGGACATGGTGACAACTTGAGCTGAGTTAGCTCAAGTTGGGTCTGGGCCAGTATGGCCGAGACACGTTTAGCCTCTGCGTCCGATTTGGACGCGAGGTCTGTGTGCTTGCAGATCTCGTCCTGCATCCAACGTTCGGATGACAGGGCTGCCTCTGCTATGTCCGCCAGCTGTTTGGTCAGGTCCCTTACTGTGGTCCGGAGTTGGTCGACTTCGTCGATCTCCTCGGGCCGGGTTGCCTGGATCAGCTTTGGCGGGCTGACGTTGGCGCGGCTTGTGTCCCAGGAGGACTGGTTAAGGTCCATCCTGGCTGTGGCCCTGTTAAGTTGGGCCAGGTCCACAATTGGCTCTTGGTCCGGTTTGGACTGGCCAGGCGCGCCGATGACGTCCTTGGTCGGTGATGGCGTTGTATAAGTTGAGCCATCGTCTTCAAACATGATTGGCGACTGACTCACGGGCTGTTGGCCCTTTTCATGTGCCTTTGGACCAGCCTTTTTGGCTTGGCCCTTTGCCTTGCGTCCACCTTTGGCCACCGTTGGTGCCTCAGGTTGGATCTGGTCCGAGCCCGATAGGGTTGGACTTGTTATCAGACCCTGGACGTCAAGGTTGGACCGGGCCAAGTTGTTTGGCCCTGGTCCATCGGTGCGTGTCTTGTCCTCACTTGTGGCCGCCGTTGGCGCCTCAAGTTGGACTTGGCCCGAGCCAGGTATGGCCGGTTGTTGTGCCAAGTCCCGAGGGACACTGTTGGCCTGGGCCGGTTTATCGGCGCCAGGTTGGCTGTCCTGAAGCTGGTTGGCCTCGGACAACCCGTCGGATGCCTCCAGGAATGTGTCGTCCCGGGTGGCGTCCAGACTTTCGTCGCTGGTATCCAGGTCAGCCGGCAGGATTTGGTTGTCCCGCCTGGCTCGGGCCTCGACCGAACTCGTAGAGCCGGCCGAGTTTGGCTCGTCCGGGTCAGAACTGGTTGTATTTTGGCGCTACGGAACCCGTAGGGTCCCGTTGGTTCGCGTGGCGTAGTTCTTCCCGCGAGGCTTGGCGTAATCATTTTGCTGGCGCCTGTCCATAGGACTGAGCAATCTCCGTTGGAGTTGCTCATGGCTGGTGTATGGCATCACCTTGGCCAAGGCGCTTTCAGTTTGGCCCATGGTATTGGGACTTAGAAGGTTTCTTTGGTCTTGGTCCGGACCGGAACGTTGGGTTGGATCGCTGTCGGTGCTGGTCAGGTACGCTAGAGCTCAGGTTTAGCGTTAGCTTCCTATGGCCCTATGTTACGTTACTGACCAGTGTGACGTCACGTACGAAATGGTCTTGCAAAAAGCTCTACGTCACGAGTAGCGTGCCGTGAGCAAAATTGCAAAAATAATATGAGTCACTACGACTGTTATAACACGGGAAGTTTCCCACGTGTTCTGATTGGTCGAAATTTTATGGAAAGTTACCACTCTGACGTCACGCGACTTTTCGCGAAAATTCCGGCTGGACAAAATGGCGGTTGTTTTTCGCCGATAATTCACCAAAAATTAGGTAAAATTTTCTCGAGAGTTCTGTTACACTTTTCTAGTGCAGAATTTCTCAAGGAATCCGAAAATGCTAGATTTACGCAAATCGGATGAAAGGTTCAAAAGTTATAGAATTTTGAAGTGCGGTTCTACGCGGAAACCTCGAAATTTTCGAAAGTTCTACGAAAACCTACGCGTCACAGTCTGGTCTTACCGAGTTTTTCCTCGTCCAAACTGCTGCTCCGTCGATCCCCTTCACCCTCTTCTTCCGTGAGGGCCGCAGCGCACCCGATAGGGCGTTAGATGTGACAGGACCGTACCGAACGCAGTTTTTGCGCCGGGAGCCAAAGCTGCGGGAGGCCCACTTATGAGCCTGACCCGTATCAACGCAACCCGGTAGGGCGCTTATTTGGTCAGCTGGAACGTACCCAACGCAGTTTTTGCGCGGGGAGCCAAAGCTGCGGGAGGTCCACTTATGAACCTGACCCGTATGAGTATTCCGTCGCGCTGCAGGTTTCCAATGAAACCTGTATGATGCAGGAGACAGATGAAGGTCGCGGGTTGGCTGGCCTACTTATAGGCAATCAGCGTAGTTCGACCAGAAATGATGCCTTCACTGGGAGATCAGAGATTCCGGGAAGGAAAACCGAATGATTCTGCTACCATGTCAGATATGACACAGAAGCAGATGGAAAATGGGGCAAATATCGCCTTTATTGGTAACAATAAAGCAACCACAAACAAACACAGAAAACCAATGCGGTATCACTGTGGAAAAAAGTAGCTGTGAGCGCGCAAGTCAGTATCGTGATTAATGATGCAGCGTGCTGCAGGTATGCAACAGCTGATGCCGTAAAGCATAGAATCGCTCGTAGGCGCTGGGCTACGCCCCCAAGAGTGCATAAATGCGCTGATTGGTCAGCGTAGACAAAGTATACGCTGAGTGAGCAGCGTAATAGCGCAACACGAATGGAGTAGCCATGTGCGGGCGAATGGACCAATCGAGTGTTTCTCTATATCTAAAATTCTTATAAATTGTGTGTTAACAAGGCCACCTCGCGCTGTATAATACCGTAACGCAACGGTAGATTTATTGCACATATAGAACGAAATTCTTGATATGGTATGATATGCTGACTAACGATCTTGTTAGCAGATATACTGACAAGATCTCCATCTTCCTGTGGTACGAGGACAGTAGCGCTGCAAGCTGCAGATTAGTCGGATGTTCATTGTACCCTAATCGTGAATGGTATGTTCACAGCACCCAATTGTCCTCGTATCAAACAAAAATTAAGAAATTGAAACGGGCACCACTGTAGCATCCGGCATAACTTGCGACCATCATATCTGTGATTATTTCGGATGCCAAGGCGGTGGTTGTGTCATGACCATCATCTAGAAATGGGTGGTTTATAGAAACATTCCTTGTTGCTTATGCAAATCCGTTTTTGTACTCGTGGTAGTTGAATGCCGCTACGCTATTTTAATGTAAGGAGTAAATTACTAGCACAGAATTTTTATTTAGATGGTGGTAATCAATTCTAATCTGGGTTTACTATTCTTAAATCACAGCCCTACAGTTTAATCAGTTCTCATGACAAGTATTTCGTTGAGTAGCTAACTCACCGGCAACGGACTGAAAAATCCAGTCAGATTGGAATAGCGTCATACCTTTTTGTTCCCTTTTTACACTGAAACCGTCCAACTGTTAACGCCTGCAAATTGGCTTCCCTTCATCCATAATGGCATTATGGATGGCATTCCAAGGGAAAGGTCCCTTTGGAACGGATTTTGATTGGAACGCGGATTCCAAAATTTGGAATTCAAGATACAATATTCCATGGATTCCTTGGAATGCGTTCCAATCCGCGAAATTGCAATAAATTAGTGGAATTACTATAATTAAATTAGTGGAATTACCATAATTAAGCATTATAATTAATTGCAGATGTTGAATTTCTCATTTTTCAACCAACCCCTTTAGTTTCAGTAGCTTTCTACCTTTTTAGTTGAACTCCGAGGCTCGAAATCTGCAGATGTATCATAACATATAGCGTATGCCATAAGCTTCAGATTACTCTCACAGTATGATACTGCAAAATTTTTTTTAGATCTACATTACTTTTAAATTATTACTCTTGCATCATAATCATATTACAGCATGAACCATAGCATAATATATGCAAATATTATCATTGCCTAATAGTAGGAAGAAATGGTTATTACCGTAATAACTGTTTTTAAAACTAACAGGGTGGTCCATTTTTAACTTTAAGTGCGGTACTTGTAATAGTTTTCAGATTGTTTAGCGATTTAAAGCGGACTTTCGAATCTTAACACTTTTTTTACAAATTATAGATTGCCGCTGCTTCTTATTTGTTAGTCCCTGCTTTAAAATAACGTAACGACTAGCTATCATATGGGTTAGCGTTTAATCTTTATGTATGTCAGTATGAAGGTTTTTGCGCGGCCTGAGCAGTGAGTAATATAATTAATTAAAAATTCAAGTTATAAAGGTCACCTGACATTCACGCTAAACTTTCAAAAATTTCATAACGTAAAAGGTGAGCCACTAAGCTGTGTAAGAAACGGAGCTTAAGAGCCCAGAGCCAGGTTATGCAAGGCTTATTAATTTTTGTAGTTTTCTACGCGAATTCGCTAAAATTAATGGAGAAAAGCTTTTAAAAGGCTTATTTTTGCTAATTCCAACAAGGAAAACAATTTCAAAATTCCACGTGGATTCCGCAAAATCCGCATTCCGTTCCAACGGTCTTTTGGAATATGCGGATTCCGTGGAATCAAATTCCACGTGGAATTGGACTGGAATGCCCACTGCTATTATTCCACATTATGATAATGCGGAATAATAGCAGTTGTGTTTAAGGACAGCGTGCCGATACATGGTAGCAAATTTGAGTTCTTGCACGGGAACGTTTCGTTTTCGCGCACTCATGAATATTCTCAGGAATAAAACATTCTGTAGCTAAAATGAAATAATGAAATGTATTGGCAAGAAATCGCAGATTTTGAAAAACTGCGAAATCCTTAGTTCGGTGTATTAACGATTATCGATAGACGTACAGTAGTACAGCAAAACCTAAAATCTTTTCGCTGCAAACAGACTTAGGGGTTTATTTCGGTCAAACCCATGAAAATGCGGTGCAGCACAACGATGGAACACTACAATTTGAAAACAAACACACAAACTTTAAGATATTTTTATTCTTTCCGTCGAGTCGCCAGACCAGTTCAGTAGCAGAAGAAGAACGGGTTTTTACGGTCGTTCAAAATTCGGTTCGTTTTCATTGCCGCATATTTCGCAGTGGGCCATCGCTCGAACATGCGTACGGTTCTCACTGTATTTGTAATCGTGAACACATCTGGTCGTAAATTGTACTTAATTTATTAAAAAAAGAGCACAAATTTAGCCACGTGTTTGGTCCTTTCGTCTGCCTGTGAATATAGTTAACACGATGGACGTCAGTATAAAATATCCGTATTTTATCTAAAACGAAACATCAGCAAATTCACTGGGAAATACAGTAAGACGCACTTTTTAGGAAACAGCATAAAGCACAAAGCCAAAATGCGAGCAGCGGCGCATTACAGCATCAGGTAAATGCTGCGCATTTTTTTCTCACGGACCCGGGCCCGTCAGCAGTTGCGCCGCGTTTGATTCTAACCGGGTTAACTTTCTAATTTCTTGGATGTCAGCGTAGGAATACTCCCGTCCCGATGGAGATGTGTGGCCGGGTACTTTCTCATAGCGCCGCTCGATTACTGCACATTTGGTATGCCTTGCGTGGTGGCGCAGCGCGTTGACCAAGAGCAGTAATGCCAGCGTTAACAGCAGCACGCCGGAGGTGACAACCATGGCTATGAGGGAATTTTTCAATCCATCGAGCAGACGTATCTCGTCAGTCGTGAGCGTCGTGGCCGAGGGATCATTTCGTGGATTACTGATGTTGATTCCCATGATGACATTGCGGGTTTTCAAAATGCCTAACATTACGGTCTGTCCGAGATTGACCAGAATGATAATAATGCCGAAAATCTTTAGCCGAAAGCGGGATTTGGGCTTTAGATGTTCTCCGGCTACCAGGAAAGCGGTCGAACCGGCTAACAGCGACACGATGTACGTGGCGACGGCAAAGCGCATGTGGAAACTAACATCACAATACGGCCAATCACATCCTGAAATCAAGTACAATAATCACAACGTCATTCGTCCAAATACTAGTTAAAAAAATACCGACACCGGATTATTTGCAATTATTCTTAAATATGACAAGGTATAACTGTCCTACTTCGATGTTATATTTCGCACACAAAAAGCCTTTGAAGTTTCGTCACTTCGTACTGATTTTGCTCACAAGACACTTGAATGCATTGCCAGCACATCCAAGAAGCTGACAAAATTTAAAATCTGCAGTCTTTTACATGTATTTTTGGCCGTATGAGAATTTTGTTGCTGTGCTTTACGCTCACTGTTCAATATTTTTAAAGGTTATTATCTCTGTTTCGTACTCTCACCTGAAATCGACTCGAAATCTTTCTGATCGGCTAAGTACAGCGAAACTGGAAAGCAACAGAGACCCATGCATAAAGAAGCCTAAACAAAATTATTTGTATTTTCATCCGACACTTTGTGCCTTGCAGTCGCCGTAAATATGTACATAAAACCGCCTAAATTAGTAAATCTGAACGGTGCTTACCGCACATTTGAATGGCAAACATGATGAATACCAAGAGCACTTCAGTGAGACCCAATAAGGCAATAAGCCGTCGCCAGCGAATTTCTGGGGCATATTTACGGAAATCTTCCCAACCGTGCTGAAGCTGCGGATACCATTCTACCGTCACCTCTCGCAGATTTGCGGCATTTTCCGCTGCTCCGTTCTGGGACACCGACAGCGGCTGCGATCTCGCGTATGATGAGCAAGCCTTTTTCATTGCTGTCTGTCTGAATTGTAAGGCTCTTCATAAAATTAAATTATGAGCCAGCAAAACAAATAATTTTCATGTTGTTGAGACAAGAAAACTATCGTTCCGCTTTCACAGCAGAACTTGCAGTGTAGCTGCGGGTGATTTGCAACAGTCAGATGGTGTTTACTGCTTAAAGGGATAATCCGCGGCAACATTACCTAGCTGAATGGCGGTGATTTAATTACCGTGCTTTTGCACTCTGAGTCAGTGAATGCACGCATTATAATGATAATTACAGTCTGGCGGCAAAACTGCTTAATAATGTGAGATTGTCTTAAGCGTTTGCCGACTCAACATAAACATTACCGTTCAACATGTGTCGCAATGTGCCACTTGTACTGTCGTTGTACTCGTATTATATCAACAGCATCGTAAATTTTTCTAATGGATGATAATTATGTACTCAGCAACGAGTTGCATGGTTCTTTCTCACAATCGGCCGCCCAAGTAGTTTATTTTGTACTAGTCATTCTGTGTAAATTGTTAGAAAGGAAAACAGGCAAATCAGACAATGCCGAAGCCTTCGAGAGCGCTACGTAATGTAATTAAGGTGACACAGAAAAACTCAAGCCCAGTGCTGTTGCGTTAATGAACTCGGTTACAGGTGGGCGCCCAGATTATCCATCTTGTGCCATTAAACATTTCCCGAAATTCCAAGGTTTCTGCAAAATTTCTCAGGCTGTTTCATGGTGCAGAATCTGATTCTCTCGGTCACCCGAGGCGCTAAACCAGCCTGGATGGTGTTTCATCTTGTGGAACATATGTCGCAACGCGCTAAGATAGGCGCTGCTCATTGCCAGTAATACAAACTGTAAAGGTCACGAGATACAGAATAATCTGCAGCAATTCATGTATTATTAATTAATGTGTTAGAAAATGGGAAATAAGAAGAAATTACCGGATTGGTCGTGTAACCCAGCACCTGTATGTGGCCGAAGATAACCGGCGCCAACGGCTGCATGACAATATCCGGCTGCACCGTCATGCAACGGGATAAACCAGATAACAGAAAAGATTGTAAACGAACACGACGCACACCATGTTCGCCTTAATTAACCGCCGCTTTTGTACGTGATTGTCACCACCCGCGTTATCACGCTCCTGATCAACGGCAAACGTTCGTCGCCGCTGATAATTGCTATGCATGGTCTTGGTGTAAATAACACCGTACAGGAACGCCGCACTGGCCAATGGTAAATAGTATCCGACGACTAAAATCGGAAATCCGTTAGCGTCTTTTGGGACAATGCTGCATATTCCAACTGGCAGCGCTGCATACATCACGCCCACTTCGAAACAGCCCAAAAGGGCAAAAATTACCGCACCTATCCAAATCAAAAATACCACCAAATTCTCCAGTTTTGTGTGGCAAAAGCGACGATACGCGAAGGGATGACAGATCGCCACAAACCGGTTAACAGCAATGTATGTCTATGTCCAGTGACTAGTTAGACGACAACTAATCAGGAAGAACATAACGATACGACAGTATTTCGGGGGGTTGAGCTGCCAGTGCGCCACAAAACGGCCATAACTGATTATATAAGTCAGTGGGTAAATTAAGCACAGCAGCATGTGCGCGATCAAACAGTGTCCAATTAATTACCCCGCAGCCGCGTCTCAGCCGAGCGTTGCTCATAATGAGACACACGATGAAGAGGTTGAAAGCAGCGCCACCGTAACACTGGGTGAAAAACACGGCCATCTCATCCACGATTATCCATGCAGGAATATTGAACCGGTAAGTAGCGTTGCTACCGGGAGAAAGCGTGTGGTTAATGGAACAGTTCATTTTAAGCGTTGTCCCAAGAAGAAGAAAGAAAAAAATTTTAAAAATACTGCTCCAAAAAATAAAGGCTTTCAAATGCTTTTTGTGAGGAAACACGAGGTATGAACGTCTTATTGCTAACCTTATGACGCCAACGGTAAATCCCGTTACTGGAATTCACTGCTGTTTGCAAGCCTAATCTACCAAATGGTTCATATGCTGAAGGGTATACCACTTTGGCTGATATACGAGATATATCACAATGTTTGACGCCCGTGATTGTTGTCCGCCTGCGCACACTGCTGCTTAACCACTTAGCGCTTCCTTTCAGCTGCGTCACTCGGGAAAACGTATTAACTCTTATGATCATGCTTTTGCTTGTAATTTATTTCCACATAATGGCACTTCTGAATTGCTGTTATATCCTGTTTGCCAGTATTCATTTCGCATTCGTACCCGCGGTCTCCAGGGAAAAGCCGGTTGAAGTAGTGATAAAACACTAAATTTTTACGAGCTGGTGCTCATATTTTTCTGGGGATATTAATAACTTTATACACGCGACCGGCATTTTCCTGTAAAAACTATTCCTGGTATCCTTTACAACGCTGATTCTCCTGGCAAAAATATTGGTATTCCCGGTATGTTGCCGGCTGTGCAAGGCCACGCCTGGATTATAATGTTGTTGTTGGCTCTGGCTTTTTAAAATACGCTGATTTATGCGCGTGATTAACCGAAAGTTAGTAAACCGTGGATCAGCTTTCTAAATGTAAAGCCAAAGCAAACAACTCCAAATAACCCCCTTCTACCCGGAGAATGACGTTAATGTAAATGGAAACTACAGACTGTACCCATTCGGCCTTTGGTGCAGTGTTTTGTTTTCGGACCGCTAGTCCAGCTGGCTGCAGTTACAAAGAAAACGAAAGTTGGCGGAAAATATGTTCACGTGTACTCAGATGGCCAGCACTCGCTGCTGCAGATCGCAAATGAACTGCGGTATCTGCACCAATAACACAAAAGCAGTTGCATTTCCCCTTCAACTGAGGATCATAAACAAATTCCCTAAGGAAGACGCATCACAAATTAATATATTTGTGCTTACGCTTCATGCGAAGTGTTTCAGCAGATCCAACTTCATCCAAGCATATATAACTGAAACCCGATAAGCATACCCGCGATAACTTTATTTATTATTTTTTGTCTTATATGGTACGTGCATGCCACTGCATGATGCGTTTTGGGTAGAGTATTCAGTTACCACACATTATTCAATTATTTTATGCATTCATAATATACCGTGTTGGGCGCATACACATGTAGCCGAAATGAAGGTGGACGAGTGGACGTTTAGTAATAGTAAAACTGTATCCACCTTTGTGCTGAAGGTGGGCAGAAAGGCGGACCAGTCATACACCAGCTTGCCGAAGGTTAACCACATTTCTGCCGGAGTTCATCTGTTATTCTGCCGGTGTTAATCTTCTTTTTTCTTAAAGGTTATCCGCTTATCTACCAAACGTTTTCCACTTTTATATGCCGGATGGAAGCCGTAGACAGGAAAGAAATGTTTTTGGGGACTGCATCCACGGAGGACAGTGAAATGCAGCGGCATATCGAACTTTTTCAAACCCTCAAAGACGGCGAGAGTGGTACGGAAAAAATGGCGTACGTGCAACTACTCAATAGCGAATTTTAGATTTCACAAAACAAGTTCCGTCCAGTTCCACTTTCGGGTAGAAGTTGGAGTTACGGGTTGATTTACGTCCGTTCGCGACGTAAGGCGCCGTAAGCCAACGTCGTCGGCTGACGCGTAAAAACTGTCGGCCTTACGTGGATCTGTGCAACGGCTCAGCCATATGACTGAGCGAGAAGTCAGCGTATGCTGTCTGTGGATCTTTTTTGTGTGCTCTAACCGCCTCCCCGCGAGAAGGTTGGTTACGCCCTCGGCACTCTCGATTCGATTTATTTTTCCAGCTGTACGTCACTGCTAGTGGGCATCCGTACAAGCATTTTAAACGCCGTTTAGTCTGCTAACGTACTGTTTATCTGACGCGGTAGTTTCTAGTGAACGGAGCCTAAGCCATGTGAAATCTCAAATTCCCTAATTACCATTAATACATACACTCATAAAACCTCACAGCGACACGTCACCAGCCATTTAGATGTTTGAGTGTGCGAAAAAATATTATACACAAAGCTATCGTACACTACTTTTTCAGAGTATTGCCTAGTACGTTTGTACAAATAAATAATTTGTAATTGACCTCCACCATTGCATTTGGGTAAGCGTTACGCGTCGGGTAACGGGAAAACGCGTAAAAAATGTGACGTAACAGCGCGTAACCAAGCAAACATTCTGATTCGCAGTCACAAAAATCTGGGATGGGTTTTAAGCTTGCTTGTCCGCGTAAGCGTTGCGCTTCGACGTCGAAGCGCAACCATTACCCAAACTACGAGTAACTCGTAACTCTCCTGCACAGATTAACAAAATTTGTGTGTGTTTGGACCAAAAGTAAATCCAACGACCCAGAGTCACAATCCAAAACTCATAATTAACTTTTTTGACGTAATACTACATTTACCACATTACAGCATTAAAAATGAGTTTTTCAGTTCCACTACGGTGTTCAATTTCTTTCTTCGCACGGAAGCGTACTCGACCCACGATTGGACGATTGTTTTTCTGCTGAGTCATGGCTAATTTTTTACGCGGTTCTCCATTACCCGTCGTGCAACAGTTACCCAAATGTAATTGACCTCCACCATAATATACAGATTAATACGTCTGCCCGGTTTTATTGCCCTAGCTTGCCTGTGAATGCCCATGATATTGCACATTGTCATATCAGGAAATACTTGACATATTTTTGTGATCTGAAGAAACCCTCGTGGGTATTAATTGTGTGTTAAGACTGACTAAAAAAACAATGACATAAAAATTATTCGGCTGATTCCTATGAATTAACCAGCGAGGAAATAAAATTGATGTCAGCTTTGATATTCAATTAAAACGCGGCTGATGTAGTACCAGTTAGTTCGCTTGAGGAAGTGTAATTTATTGGTACCACGGTTTCTTCACGAATTGGCTCGCTCATAGATGTAAAGCTCTCTACGGTATCCCCAGGAGCTGGTTCACTGGTCGCAGAAACGGTGACGAATGCAGTGGTTTTTGAAGTCAGTGGCGATTTCGTAACCGTGGTAATTTTTGTCTTAGAGGCTGCGTTGGTCTCGTGTGCCATTGACGCATCGCAAGGTGGCTCGTTGGTTGAATAATCGATCTGTGTATAGTAATTGATCCACTCCGTGCCGAAAGGAAACGGATCGGCGCGACAGTTCACTGGATGATACAGATCCTCCTTGTCGAATCCAGAGTTTTCGAGGAGTTCTGTAGTGAAACGTCCATCGAACGAATACACATCGCCGACTTCAGTCCGAATTCGCAGCTTTTTATTGGCTCGCCACCACGAACGATACCAAGCAAACTCGCAGCTGCAGTGCAGATTGCGCAAGAAGCTTCGGAATGACTGGTCGAAATTGTAGTATTTCTGGTCTTCAAAAAGCGCTTCCAGTGACAATATTTGCAGGTTTGGCAAATCGGTAAAGGTGCCGTGCTGCATGGTTTTGATTGTAGTGTTGTAAAAAACAACTATACGCAGCCGCTTCGAGGCGGCAAAATCCTTCTTTTCAATGACCAAATTGCGAGCGTCGTATAACTGAAAGTCCAGCATGCTGGTAAAATTAAGATCGATCAACCTAGAGGTTACGCGCTCTGTTGTACAGTTGCGTAGCTGGAGCTTGACGACTTGGCGTTGTATTGGCGCGAAAGAATACTTGGCAATGAGTTGCTCTTCCACATCCATGGAAACCACTCGCAACGGTGGTTCTGCCATATCCACCGCCATTCGGGCCAGTATGGTGAGCGATGCGTTTGACCGGCAGACAATCCGGAAATCAGTTCGCGAAGTGCAGTTGTCCGTTGTTGTGATATCAGATTTGCAGTAGCGATTGAACTGTGCACCACACTCCTCATCTGTCATTTCTTGCAGGGAAAACTTGGGAAAATTGTCGTCGGCCTCGATTTGCTTACTGCCCCTGGTGACGTTTATCGGACAGTTATAGGCAATCATAATTTTGGCGACGTCGGTTGGACTAAGGGTTTTCCTGCGTCCTATACGTTTTGTAAGGCCAGTTTTCGGCACCATGGCAGGATTTCGGCTTAGTGAATACGCCCACGTGTAATAATGCTGAATGGACTGGTAGTCATATTTGGTTCCAAACGTGTACATGGACGGATTGATCCGATAAACCGAGTAATAATAGTCGCCGGCAATGCTGTCATTGCGCACTTCAACGTACTGGTCGCGATCGGTGCGCTTGTGTTCGTAATCAAAGCCCAGCGATCGCATGAGAGCCTTCATGATTTCACCTTGATCGAAGCAACCGCTTGAATACGAATACGATGGACTTTGCAGGTAGATATCCTGCAAGCCGCCGGTGCGTCCAAGATCCGCAGTGCATCTAAGGAGAACAACGCGAAGAAATAAGGTGTTGATAGTTTTTTTTTAAATATGATTGACCGATAACTTTGAAAAGGATCCTGACGTACTTGTCGTAGCTGCCTTGAATATACAGGTAATCAGTTTCGTATGTTCTAGGCTTGAACAAAATGCAGCCTTTCGTCATTCTCTCCATTGTGCGAAGAGCTTTCAAGACAGTTTGCTGTTCCGATTGATCTATGCAAATAAATGTACTTGTAATTTAGTATAAATCATATCAGAATGCCGTAAATAAGTCTACAGTAAAATACCGTAAATAAGTCTACAGTATTTCAGTAACTGTGCTTTCTCTTATTCGCGCGCTGAAGCCAGTAAAGCCATGTAACATTAACATAATAGTACTGGTGTAACGGTGTTGACTTAAAGATATCGAATCCTTTTATGGATTCGTATAATATTAATACATATGTACTTGAATGTTAAACGAATCTGTAAACGAACGAATGATTATAAGAACATATCAGAAGCCGGTACGAGGCAATAAATAATTTCTGCATACTCACTAAGGTAATATGGGCTTAAGTAATAAGGGATCGCGGTAGGATTAGGCCAGAGCTTAGGTCCGGTTTTGGCAATGGCATTTATGTCCGAAAAGTTGAGTGGCTTGCTGAAAAGATCTGGAAAAATGGTTAGCGAAATCAATAAATGTTTGGTAAATCTTCGACGCAAAAAACAAACTTAACCGAAATCTGACAGTCTTCCTGGTCCTTAATTACCAACTAACAGCACGCATGCACTGAGTAATGGTGCTAGTTTGTTCAACCAGTAACCTACCCAGTAGCGCGCTAAAAATTTATTAAAGGTTTGCTACAATGTTGTACGGTACGCCGGTATCTTGAAGTTGCGGGTTCATAGCATTAAGCCTGACAGCACATAATCAAAACAATTCGTTCTCTTTTATCAGATCAAAGTTGAACGCGCCCAGTGCACGCCCTGGAAATGTTTTCGGCCACGTTAACAACACTTACCTTCCGTTATCTCAACGTCTTGATCATCCGCAATCGCTGCTACAGCATTGAGAAATGCTGCAGCAACGAGCAGATGAAACAAAAGGTGGTACTTTGTTCCCATTGAAAGGTTTAGACCCAGTTCACCATAAAACGGTGACCGTAAAGATATAGATAGATAAACAGGCAGATAAATAAAGTACAGGTAGAAAAATCAAAATGCAAACCGTGCTCAGTAAAAAGCTTTTTCTAGTTCTTATAAAATACGCCGGTATGGTGCCGTTAGCGTTGAGTGCAAGGTACATTAATGTGCCACATAGCAAAATTATATCTATACATGTATTTTGCACCGATCATGCTTTCCCTGCATGATGCAATACGTGGAAGATGTTGCAAATAACCTAAAGCGTAGCGGTTAATTTTTTATCTACCGGAACTGACGACATTTCTCACCATTGTCGGCTAGCTATGTTAGTCAAAACAGGCACCGCTTGCCTTCCGGAAACAAATCAAACATACAAATATGCCTCAAAAAACCTTATTAACGTATCTGAGCCAACTGTTGGATGCAGTTGGGTAAGTTGTCCTTCCCCGGCATTTCTACGTACGTACCATGCATGACGTAGTTTTAAACAGCTAGTTAACTGTACGAGAAGTAATTTCACACTAGCCAAAGGTCATTCCCGCAATTTTAGAAATGGAAACGTAAGATTATGCGCGCACTTTCAAGAAATTCGCTATTATGAAAGCAGTAATTGAAGGGCGATCCTAAATCATCTATACCGTTCGCCTGTTCTGCTGCTATTACCCGGCTGGAGTATGCCGCTACGGCAGTAGTGTGCATATGGCTAAATCCGTCGCGGGTCTCAAGCGCCGTTTTCCAGCCAATAATATCGCACTCAAGCCGCGTGACGGCCGCAGTACAAGGAACGGTATTAGGGATTTGGTCTTCCACCTTCTGATACTTATCCACTAAAACTATTTTCTTCACGGCTTGTTCCTTTTCTATTCAGCTATAGCCACTTTACATAGCAAAGTGACCACTAAAGTTATGCAGATTTGAAACATTAAAAAACTAGCCCAAGTTATCAAAGTTGCTCACCTAACGTCTTAGGCCGCATATTCAGTGTTCCCGAAGCAGCAGCAGCATTTTATTTTACAACCGCCAAACTTAACCCTTGTCCCTCAAAAGCCATGGATCCAGGTTCGCCGGTCGCATCGGAAATCCTTCGGTTCACAAATCGCTTCGTTTCCGCAGTGACCGTTCCAAACGTTGCAAGTGTCTGGATCGCCAATGCAAAGAAGATATATCCGATCTCCACTGTTTCTAGGTACGCACATCTGCACTCTTTGCTATTTTCTGCCAGCTGAGTTAAATGCCAGATTTCTACGAGCGTTCTTTAACGTGGGAAACAGTGTCCCAACACGTGGCATCTCGTACGATTGCTTTACCGTCTCGCACAGGAAGGTAAGTAAGGTCCTGCCGTTTGATTATGCAATGTCTGTACTTGACAATCCCATAGCTTCGTTCTAACACAGGAAGGTAAAGACAAAAACGGTATCTTCGTTAGGATTGGGCACAAGTGATGCCACCAAATGGCTAAACCGGAAATGAACGCAGAATCCACTGCTTGTGTTACTGCATCGTAGAAAAATCGTTGTTTTCTGTTTTAAATCGAAAAGGTTCAGAAGAAAAGAAGGAATTGAATAAATATACAATACCGCACTTCACGCCCAGACTGTGAGCGCTAAAATTTAATATTAATGCCCTAATCATCAGATTTAGAGCTTATGCACTTTTCCTCGGAACTGTTTTCAAACCGCGAGCTTGGTTACAAACCGGCTTTGAACGCATTTCCAACACCGCCCTACTTGACGAGGCGGTGGGTAGTGGGTACCTGCAAAGCGAGCGATTGCGTCATTAAACTCTTTGGTCAGAACAGGCAGGAAATATCTCGTTTGACCTCATCTAGGCTGTCGGGTGGAGCTTCGATCCACCAGTAAAGCACGCATATCCTACAATTACATCGTTCGTTACAATGAGAGGCCATACTTGTAAAATAGTTTACAGTTCAGAAACCAAGGAAGTAAACGGAAAAATGCCCTCCTTGGGGTCCGGATCTTTATCGCTTAAGTTATCTAACCACCGCACATACAGAGTAACGACTCGAGAATGACCACAACAGAACACCGTCGACGAAATAAAATTCTTGAACTGAAATGAAACTCTTACTTGCAATTTTGATTCCTTAAGGTTGATGTCGGTTATAACGTTGTGTCGGTGCCGTTTATAACGTTGTATCGGTTGTTTGCCATATTCGAAGTACTGCATGCCACGACGGATCTTCGGTTGCAAATAAAACACATAGTAAATGTGGCAAACAGCTTCTGGCAGAACTTTTAGCTGTTTATGTACCGGATATGACGACATTTCCCATCACTGCCGGCTGCCAGTGGTGTTCCTTCGTTGCTGCGGGATCAGACTACAGTCTATAATATTTTAGGCTAGAGGAAGGTCATACTACCTGAACTGATTAAACGTTCTCGGGCCTTGCAGTTCTACTTCACCCAGAATTTCCCGGTACCGGATCGCGTGTGAATTACAGTAGACCGGGAAAACTAGGAACGTCGGCAAAATAATTCAATTAAGAAAGCAAATTTTTGTTCAGTATTTTGCTGACTATAGTTCAGCTGCAACAGAACGGTGTCAAATTGACAACAACGGGTTCACTGCTATGCATGACAAATTTAAGTACGTTTAATTACAGCTGTAATCAGAAGAAATTCCGATTGTAAGGCAATGCGTCGTGGACAGTTTGTCTGGTTTCGTAGATTTCTTCTGTCAGACAAACTTAATGCTCTTTTTACCAAATGGCAACCAATATTACGTATGTCGTACGTATGTAACCGTCCAAAACGTCCGGACGTCTGAGACGTCCGGCGGATCTTTTGGAGCCTAAACCGTCCAAAACGTCCGGGGGCCGCCAAAACGTCCGGCGTAAATTTTGCCCACCATGTTTTTTGGTTTTTTCGTTGGTTCGCAGCCGGACGTTTGTGCCTGACCGTCAATTCGTAGCCGAACGTTTCAGCCTGATCGTCAATTCGTAGCCGAACGTTTCAGCCTGACCTTTAATTCGTAGCCGGACGTCTCTGCCCAACCGTCATTTCGTAGCCGGACGTTTCAGCCTGACCTTTAATTCGTAGCCGGACGTCTCTGCCCAACCGTCATTTCGTAGCCGGACGATTGAGCTTGACTGTTAATTCATAGCCGGACGTTTTGGACGGTTACATACGTACCGTATCATATTTTCTTGGGCTACGCGCAGGCCCGTCCTTAGGTTTTTGGGAGGGGGCGCACCATTGTTCTCAAAAAAGAACAATGGCGCCAGTTGCGCCAGTTCCGAATCTCCCTTTTTTTAACATGTAAGGTCCGACGCCAGTTGCGCCAGTTCGTTTTCGGAAGGGTGGGGGGGGGGAGGGCGTGCGCCAGTGCGCCCCCCCCTTAAGGACGGGCCTGGAGCCTACGCGTAATCTCGATCTCTGTACTTACGTTAGTTACGTATGTGCTTGAGTGTTCCTATGCGTCCTGAGCTCTCACCGTTTATTTTTGGCTGGTCTGTCCCGGGGATACCTCTTTTTCCATCTATCTACACAGTAATCGTGAATCACTAGTTCAGATCAGTGTGGCGTAGCGTTGGTTTATTATACCGAATCGGCGCATACCCATGTTACATGGGGAGGGGGGGGAAGGGGCACCCGAACATGTAAGGGGAAACACCCGAAAAGGAAGTTGTCGCATCGGCGGCCCGTGAACGTCAAGTTTTTGGGGGAAACAAATTTTGAAAATCGGCCTCAACCATTTTGTTCATAATTTTACAGCGAGTCTAATTATATGTTCAGAAAAAATGGGCGCTCGGGAGGAGTAGCTCTTTGAAAAATTAACGGGGGTCTCGCGACGGGCCTGCCCATGTAGCCGACAGGAAAGTGGACCAGTGGATGTTCATGGTTCAATAAAATCGCATCCACCTTTCTCTCGAAGGTGGGCAGAAAGGTAGATCAGTCGTACACGAGCTTGCCAAAAGTAAATTGCCACATTTCTGTCGAAGTCCGTCCATCTCAGTCTGCCAGTGAAATGGACACAAAATTACACAAAAGCTATTAAATTAACTATGCAGCTAAGTGAACTAAATATTCAGCTGTTCCCATGAATTAAAACAACGAGAGAAATAAAATTTATTGTCAGCCGCTTGAGGAAGCGGAATTTACTTGTGCCACGGTTTCTTCTGGAATTGCTTCGCTAGTGGAATAAGAGGTTACTGGCGTTTTGTTTTCCGTGGGAATTGGTTCACTTGCAGAAGTACAGCTGTCTACGGCATCCGCGGGAACGGGTTAACTGGTCGAAGAAACGATGACGGATGTTGTGGTTTTTGCAGTTTGTGGCGATTTCGTAACCGTGGTAATTTTTATCTTGGTGACTGCGTTGCTCCCCTGCATCACTGACGCATCGCAGGGTGGTTCGTAGATTGAGTAATCGATCTGTGTATAGTAATTAATCCACTCCGTGCCGAAGGGAAACGGATCGGCGCGACAGTTCACTGGATGATAAAGATCCTCCTTGTCAAATCCAGAGTTTTCGAGAAGTTCTCCAGTAGAACGTCCATCGAACGAATAAACATCGCCGACTTCAGTCCGAATTCGCAGCCTTTTACTGGCTCGAAACCACGAACGATACCAAGCAAACTCGCAGCGGCAGTGAAGACTGCGCAAGAAGCTTCGGAACGGATGGTCGAAATTCTAGTATTTCTGGTCTTCAAACAGCGCTTCCAGTGACAATATTTGCAGGTCTGGCAAATCGGTAAAGGTGCCGTGCTGCATGGTTTTGATTGTAGTGTTGTAAAAAACAACCATAAGCAGCCGCTTCGAGACGGCGAAATCTTTCTTTTCAATGACCAGACCCCGAGCGTTGTACAGTTGAAAGTCCAACATGCTCGTGAAATTAAGATCGATCAACCTGGAGGTCACGCGCTCTGTTGTGCAGTTGCGTAGTTGTAGCTTGACGACTTGGCGTTGTATTGGGGCGAAAGAATACTTGGCGATAAGCTGCTCTTCCACGTCCATGGAAACAACTCGCAATGGTGGTTCTGCCATATCCACCGCCATTCGCGCCAATATGGTGAGCGATGCATTTGACCGGCAAACAATCCGGAAGTCAGTTCGCGAAGTGCAGTTATCAGTTGTTGTGACATCGGACTTGCAATAGCGATTGAACTGTGCACCACACTCCTCATCCGTCATTTTCTCAAGGGAGAATTTGGGAAAATCCTCGTCGGCGTCGCGTTGTTTACTGCCCCGGGTAACGTTTAGCGGACAGTTATAGGCAATCATAATTTTGGCGACATCGGTTGGACTAAGGGTTTTCCTCCGTCCCATACGATTGGAGTTTTCGACACCATGGCAGGATTTCGGCTTAGCGAGTAAGCCCACGTGAAGTAATGCAGAATGGAATGGTAGTCGTACTTGGTTCCAAACGTGTACATGGATGGATTGATCCGATAAATCGAATAATAGTCGCTGTCAATGCTGTCATTGCGCACTTCAATGTACTGGTCGCGATCGGGGCGCTTGTGTTCGTAGTCAAAGCCCAGTGAGCGCATGAGAGCTGTCATGATTCCATTTCACCTTGATTGAATCAAGGGGCTGAGTACGAAAACGCCGACAGATATGATGGACTTCCCAGGTAGATATCTTGTAAGCCGCCGATGCGTCCAAGGTCCGCAGTGCATCTAAGGAGAACAACGCGAAGAAATAATGACGTTGATAGTTTCTAAATTACTTATTATTGATAAGGATCGTGACTTACTTGTCGGAGCTGGTGCCTTGGATATACAGGTAATCCGTTTCATATGTTCTGGGTTTTAACATGATGCAACCTTTCGTCAGTCTCTCCATTGTGCGAAGAGTTTGCTGCTCCGATTGATCTACGCAAATAAATTCTTGTAAAAATAATATAAAAAAATACCGTAAAGGAGTCCGCTTCAGTAGCTGTGCATTACCTTATTCGCCCGCTATGGCCAGTGAAATCACATAACATTAACACTATACGAGTACTGATGTTGACATAAAAATAACTTGGCGGCATTGCAACGCATCCCTCTATGGATTTGTGTTTCTGTAGTATTACTGTATATACTTGAATATAAAACGACTCTTTATACGAACGAATAAATATAAGAACGAATTAGAGGCACGGTAAGTCGCAATTAATTTCTGCATTCTCACTAAGGTAATATGGGCTTATGTAGTAAGGGATCGCGGCAGGATTCGGCCAGAGTTTAGGTCCGGTTTTAGCAACAGCATTTACGTCCGAAAAATTGAGTGGTTTGTTGAAAAGATCTGAAAATAAAAAAATGGTTACTGGAATAATTAATTTTTTTCAAATTTTCGAAGCAAAAACGTCACGGATCTGGCTGTGTTCCTGGTACTTAAATACTCTGTACCAACTCATAGCAGGCTGCCCAACTAATTTAAAAGCTGCGCTCCGGTCTTCCATTAGTGTACACCGGTGTGCAGTTTATTGGTTATGCTTTTGTTTAATAAGGAAGACCTGTCCTGGAAATGTTTTCAACCAAGTCTAGTAACGAGTCTGTTAACAAAGCCTACCTTCCGTTATCTCAACGTCTTGATTTCCGCTATCGCTGCAGCTGGGCTGAGAAACGCTGCAGCAACGAACAAAAGGAATAAACCGTAGTATGTTGTTCCCATTGCAAGGTCTAATGCCTGCACACCTGGAAACGGTGCCGGTAAAGACTTGCTACTATACTTTATATTACAGAGATAGAGATAAAGCGTCAAGTAAAAATCGTAGATAAAACGTCAAGTAAAGACGTCAACTAGATAAAACATTAAGTAAAAAATTGCAGGTAGAAAACATAAATCCGAGCCGTGCTCGTAATAGACTCTATCCGGTTTTTATAAAATACGCCGGTTACGTGCGGCTAGCGCAGAGTGAATGCTACAGTATTGTGCCACATTGCAAAATTATGTATATGTACATGTATTTTGCCAGCGATCATGCTTTATTTGCCTGATGCAATACGTTGGCGATGTTGCAAATAACCTCAAGGGTAGCGGTTAATTTTTCATCTACCGGAACTGACGACACTTCTCATCATTGTCGGCTACTTTAGATAGTCCGAACCAGGCACCGTCTGCCTTCCAGAAACAACTCAAAAAATATGTCGCAGAAAACATACATACCTCAGTAACCTCATTAACGCATCCCCAGCAAACTGCTATATACAGCTGAATATGTCTTCATAACTTGACTTTTTTACGTAAGTAAAGTGGTTTTAAAAAGTTTGTTTACTGTATCAGAAGTAACTTCACACCCAAAGTTATTCAAAGTTACGCCAGAAATTCGCCATTGTGAAAGCAGTAATAGAAGAAGGAAGGAAACCCGAATCTCCAACACTGTTTCCCTGCTCTGCTGCTGTAACCCGGCTGCAGTAAAGGGAAACTGTTGAAATACATATACAGTACATAGCTAAATTCGACGCGGGTCATAAACGTCATTTTCAGCCGCACTCGAGCCGGGCGACGGCTGCAGTAAAGGGAAACTGTGTTAAGGATTTGTCCTTCCGCCTTCTGTTACTTATCCGCAGAGGTTGGTTTCTTCACGAATTGTTCTTTGCCTATTTGGCCGCTTCACATAACAGAATGCCTGCACTGATACACTAGCTATTAAAATTATGAAGATTGGAAACCTTGAAAAAATAGCCGAAGACACTTACTAGTGTTTATTTTGTCCAGACGTCTACTGTATAGAAAAGGGATAAATGCACGTTTCCCCTACATTATACCTAGCGGAGAATACTGCCGAAACCTATGCACGATCTTTACTGTACACGCTCATGATGGATACTGAATCTCTCAAACATAACTTCAGCAGAAAACTGAGAAAAGAGACGACTTAAGACACAGATATTATATAAATTACGCGAAGATAGTTCACAATAAATGCATAAGCGCTTGTTTACCGGTGAACGCAAAAGTATACGTACGTGACCGCACGCCACATAACAAAAGTGTTGTTGTACAGCATTGTCTGCTTTACAGTATTAGTTATTTAATTATTTCATGGATAAGAAAGTCGTATTAATCTTGCGGTCCAACAAGTGTAGGTCCACACGGACCAGCGTGTGTGGAAGGTGCTAGGTTTGCTGATTCGTGCAGCCAGGTAGGGTTGAAATCACGCTTTCACCATTTCACATTTCACTTTTCATTTCACTTTCATTTCATAATCACGCGGACCCTCGCGTGAAACGTGAAAGTGAAATGAAATGAAACGTGAAATGCATGAAATGGTGAAATCGTGAAATCGCTTGAAATGCATCAAAAGCGGACGAAATTAGAGCGATTCACTATATTTCTTGCAACGAAAATGTTCACTCCGTTGTATTTTTTGTGTGACCCCTTCTAATTCGATTCCCTGCTTTAAGCAACACTGCGCGTAAGCATTAATGTTGCAACTGGAAGAGAAGAAAACGTTTTTCGTACGCTTTTAGTGCAGGTAATTTCAGAATTCAGATATCTAAATGCATAGGTAGCCAAAACGCCTAGAGTAAGATTTATTTCTACTGTTCTTCCCATTAATACTGAGAATTCGGCTTATTAAAGAAAACTACCCGTGCCAAGGTAGAAGAACTCGGTTTGCAAACTGGGATATCGTACAGCGGATAAGAAAGAAATAATTTTTTAGAGGTGTTTAGAGTGCAATTAAGATCAAATGCAAATAACGAAATTGCTCGGCTACTTACAGTTGGACCTCGCGCGGACAAGCTCAAAAGGAGCGCCGCGCGTCCAAATACGACTAGTATCAAAGTCGAAGGAAATTCCGTGCCGCAGTACGCTACTGCGCTGATTTCTTGAATAGAAACGAACATTTTCTTTGTACGCCTTGTTCTTATAAACCGATTACCATTTTCAAACTTCTACTCCTAATTTTAGTTTTAAATAGTTTTATCTTATTCTGTAGTAAAAATAAAAGCAAATTGAACAATCTTCTTGCACTTACTGTATAGTCTGTACTGAATAATAAATTTAGTAATCCATTTACAGAGTACAACGAATATTTTTGAAATATTAAACTTCTACTAGTACCGTGCAGTTGCAGTATTACGTAGTGTTTTAATTGCTTTCGGCTGTTTGCAACCCTAATAAAAGCTAAAATAATCAATTTAAATTTTATTTTTTATTTCACGTTTCATTTCAATTCACTTCCTTTCACTTTCATTTCACTTCTTTTCACAAATGGGTCTAAGCCTCGTGAATTTCAACCCTACCTGCACCTGCACCGTGCAGGTGCAGGTGCAGCCAAAGATGTGGAAAGGACGAAAGGTACTGAAGATTGCGGAAATCGTAGTGTTAGGGCATTTCCATGGAAGTACCATTGCGTATAGTAAGTTAACAAAATAACTAGCAATGCAAGATATTTAAAACATTTTTTAAAGCTTGCGGGAATTTATATCACATAACAAAAGCGTTGCGCACGGTTCGAAGTTCAAACAGTGCGCATTCTTTTGCAGCCCAGCGATTGTGCGTAGGTCAAAGTTTGAATGAGTGAAGAATCGTTGGGTTGCAAAAAAATTCGTAGTTATATACGTATTAAAATTATCCTAAATTTTACTGTTTTCGTACAATTACGTATTAATTATTATTTTATTAAGTGCAATCGCAAAATTAGGACTATAACAATTTTTAATTTCTTCGCCCTTTGTGACAGCGTCGGCGACTGCCGCATCATTCTCTTCTGCGCAGAACGTGGAATCTAAAGACAATGAAAATCCCGTTAATCCTTAATAAAATTCATAAAGCGCCGACAAACGCGGCCAATATACGCATTTCCATCACCATGTTCTTCGTTTTCCGGATACTACCACGCGTGTCCTCAAATAAAAAACAATCACGTTTCCGCTGTGAAAGTGAATGTCAGATAGATCGGACGTATGCAGTCTACCATCAATCAGACAAGCGTGGCGCCGCAACAAAGCCTGTCATGTCCAAACAATCTATCAATTAACCCACCACGGATTATACGAGCCATAAACACACACCGCGCAGCATGCAACTCGGACAGCGAGATTTAATTATCACACTTTTACTGGCAGCCATCAATCCGTTAGCAGTCGGTGGGTTTTGTTCGCTGGGCGGGGCCTGTCACTGATCGTTGCGGAAAAGTATGCGGTATATAGAAGTTGATTGAAAATTCTTGTCAGTGATTTTGTGATTAATCTCACGTATCCGTTTCACTTTCACTACAGTTTTTTTTCTTGTTTTTCATCTGCAAAATGACTGTTATTATTGGCGTCATAGTGGCTTTCGTTGCCAGTGCTTGCGATGCTTCCTTATTGGTAAGTCGGAAAATCAGGCGTCACAGAAAGCTCTTAGTAATTACTTTACTAAACGATTACAGTAATAATAATCTTTTTAATTTATAATTTGATAATCTTGGTATGTATATAAATAACTTTTTTAACTTTTTGATATTGTGTTTTTTGCTGCGAAGACTCGACAACCAGTTTTTCGTTTTTTACGCCTTTTTAGCTAATTTGAGAACGAGTACCTAAACTTTTGTTAGACTCCTGTTTATTTAATTCGAAGAATTGCACTTTTTGTTGAACAGGTGAAGCGCGCTTCTGGCCAAACACCGAAAGTCTGGGACGCGTTGGACCAATTGAAAGGCGCCAATCGCGCACTCCACGCAACTGAGATGCAGGAGCTATTGCGTTCCGCCCGTCCCAACCAGGATTATCCCGCACTAGCCAGTATTCCCGCTACAAACATCGACTGTCTAAAATTCCATCAACCCGGATTTTATGCTGACGTGGACGCCGGCAAATGTCAGGTGTTTCATCGATGTGATATCAGCGGGAATCTGACAAGCTACCTTTGTCCTAATATGACGGTAAAAAAGGCTGTCATTTTTATTTGGATTATTTATGAAGTGCATGCCTAATCACATTGTTATTTTGGCAGTTGTTTAACCAAATCACGCTGGTCTGTGATTGGTGGTTCAACGTGGACTGCAGTCAGGCCAAAAATTTTGCGGATTACTCCAACAGCCGATTATACCAAGGAGCGGATGTTATGCTGCTGGATAATCAGGAGGTCATCGCCGCGTCAGGCGCTGTGGATGCAAAGAAAGCGGCGCAGCTACCGGCGCCCAAACCTGCTAAAAACGGAAATAAAAAGGCTAAAAGAAAATTTCGTTCCTGATGCACATTTTTCTTGGATCGCGATTTTCGGATTATGAAACGCAGTAACTTTGACACACAACCTGTTGTAGTAAAGGCGAATGTGAAGTAATTACCGCATGTGATCATGTGAACAAAACCAATTAACAGACTATAAAAGAAAGCTCGAAGACGGGGAAAAAAGCGAGTAGCGGACCATGAGGTTCGGAGTCTGTGGCGGTATTTATCTTTCAAATTTTAAAAATTAGGAAAAGGCAAAATTTCCAAGCGCAAAGGGTAATGACCGGACAGTTATATACCTCAGTCAGTGAAGCAGTTTTTGTAACGAAAGATCTTGTAAGTAACTTCTTTGCCACTCAGTCGAGCAAACCAAAAAAGTCGACTTTCCTTGAATTTAAAAGTAAAACATTTTAGGATGCCCTTTCGATGATTTCTGCATGAAAAACGCCTTCGCTGTTTAAGGATGTATGATATTTTATCCTCAGAGAGCGTGACATGTCACCTGCGGTGACTGTCTGACGATGGCTGGTCTTCTCGTTCAGCGTCGTTTGGTTAGTTGCTTGTAGAAATCCTTTGCTATTCTTTTTCCATGTGGTTTTCGATCTGCGACGGTTTACAAAACCGAAAACACAAAGGTTCGCCAGATAGAATAGTGGCGGAAAACAGCAAAAATTCGTGTAATGTATTGTAGTTCATCTAAATTGGCAGGTTGGTAATCGACAATCGACCAGGTTTCCTCCCAAAAAGTATCGTAAACTGCTGTTAAAGGTGCATGATTATCTCTCAGAGTACTGTATATCATTTCTGCCGCCGTACGTATACCATGTCGTTAACGACGCAAGCCGAATGCCACGCATGCTTTAGAAGTAAATGAATATTTTCCCAGGTGGCAGTTCTGACCTTCAAGCGAAAACAGCCTGCTGCGGCCACCATCGGCCTATAAGTACGAGGACAAGCTACCTTGGCCCGATCAAAGGCATATGCGCGACCATAAACTGATCACTGTTTCCATATGTGTGCAACACGTCTTACCACCCCGCGACGGCAACTGCAAGAAGCAGAACTTAAGCGCCAGTGAGCTTTCCAGTTCAAACAAGCGTTTTTTCACTTTCCTGTGCCATCCCCCCCTTTTTAAAGCTTGTGAAGTATGTAATATTCCAAAAATTCGAGAAAAAAGCAGACAGTTCTTTTTCTATAAAAAAAAACTACCTCTCTTGAACTAAGTTAGTCATAACTGCCTGGTTTTTTGTTCTTGCTTGGGACCGTTTATTCTATTTCTGCCTACGAGAAATTTCATCACCTATGATTTTCTTCTTTTACTATGAATGGCTCTGTTATTTATCTTCAGAATTTTTATTTTTCTTTTCATCTTTTAAAATAAGAAAGTTTCGAAAAAGAGTGCAGAAGCAGAAGTGTTTAGATTTTTGTGCTGAAAGCTGAGACTGCTGACCATTTTGCGCCGCCATCGCTGGGTGGCTAGCCGTATTGCACACCCAAGTGGCCCAGTGTTAACATGCTCGGGCAGGGTGATCGGTTCATGGTCGCGCATTTGCCTTTGATCGGGCCAAGGTAGCTCCTCCTCGTAGTGTTATTTTACTTAGCAAAAAGTAAATAGTAAACCTATTTAGTAGGCCGTTTTTCTTGTTTTAGTTATTACCTTACTTAGTAAGCCGTTTTTGTGTTTTACTCATTAAGTAAAAAGGAAAAAGCCGCAAAACGGAAAACTAAATAGTAGTAAAGTAAAAGTAAGAGTAGCCGCGTCGAGAAAGTAAATATGAAGTAAAACTCTGCAAAAGTAAGAGGTGCAGACCGGGAAATGCTTGATTAGTAAGTTAATTCGTTTACGATTTGCCCGCAACAAATGTAACGCGGCCGGCAGTACGAAAACTCTGTTGAACCTTGTCAAAGACTTATTCTTTGCACTACATATTATGTCCTGTAGGGTTAAATTTCCTCTGCAACACAGGTGCTAGCGACCGCTGGATGCGCGAGTTACGTGGCTGCCTTTAGTACGTCAATTGCAATGAAATACAGTATCGCTATCGTGCTACCAGTATATTACATTTCAATTTTTCAACCAATTAAATTTTCCGCGAAGCAAGCTGTTTCAATGAAGCAAATGCATACTTTAATATTTAATCAATACCAAAATTAGTGGTAGTTTAAATAATGGTTTTTGTATTAACCGCTCTGTGAAAATGATCGAAGGCTGCATTTCAAAGAAATTGCTTGGCATATCCAAGAACAGACGTATTTTTGTATCATCAACTAGCTGAAATGATTATTATTCCTCCCCAAGGATTATTTTCCGCAGTAGCTGCTGATCTTGTGCCGATAGTGCGACGGTAGACCAGGGTTCCTCTCGGGCAGTATCGTAAACTTCAATTTCCAGTGCATGTTCGTTTGCGTCATTTCGGCCTCCGCATACGTATATTCTGTCGTTGAAAAATCCAGTCAAGTGCCGGCATCTCGGTTTTCGAAGATGATGAATACTCTCCCATTCCGCTGTTCTGATGTTCAAGCGAATGCAGGTCGTTGTAGCAATCCACAAATATGAAGACGGTTTTTCTCTGACCTTGCCACCCAGAATGTACACGTAACCGTTGACGACTGCCATACTAAACCGACTGCGCGCTTGCGGGAGATCTCGTAAATGAGTCCATTCGCCAGATAGGGAATCGTACAGTGCCAGCCCGGTGGAGAGATCGTCCAAAAAATAGTTGTAAGCATATAGCAGTTTCTGCTCAAACTCAGCAACCGCCGATATGTGTATGTTTAACCTACGACGAAAGACCGAACTCGTGTTACATAGCACATTTGAAGTGCGACATTTGTTGCTCCTAATTTTTCTAGCTGTATTACAAGCAAGGCCGGCTCCGCGTTATTTTCGAAGCTAAAGGGGAGCCCGAATATGGAATTCGTCGAAATACCAAACAAGTCGCTATTTCGTGCGACTATAATACGTACCCGTTACATTACCCGTTACACGGGTAATGTAACGGGTAATGTAACGGGCTTACCCGTTACACTATGCTTACCCGTTACACTGGAACAGCCGCATAACCTTAGCATTGGCATTGCATACGTCCTCTTGCACGAAATCATATTCACGGGTCACATGGCCATGATCATAGCGAAAATAACTGCATACTTCCTCTTGCACAAAATCATATTCACGGGCCTCACGGCCATGATCAAAGCGAAAATAACAAATCATGTCATTGACCACCACCGGAAAATGACAGTCAGAGGTAACTGGATCATAATGATGAGGCGTGAAGGATTTCTTCCAATCATTCGTGTTCATATTCCAGACATACAGTTTCGTTCTACTATCGTTTGTGATGGTTTGGAATACAATCTCTCTTTTCGGGATGCTAAGCTGAAAGGATCTTATTTGTATTTCCAAGTCTCCAGGTGTACGCAGTTCGTGAGCATGGATTTTATTTGTTGCTGGGTCGAAATTTAAAACCTGGATACAGCCGAGAGCTGCGTTGCTAGCAAACACCGTGACGGTCACCACCGGTAATTCATGCAGCATTTCTATGGCAGATATTCTGCTTGTTGGGTCCTGCTGCAAGCAAAGCCGTGCACAAGCCGCTAAACGTACCGGTATGTCCTCCCTGATAAATGGTACGTAGCCGTCGATTATTTTCGAGGCGAATTTGGCCGGGGTAATACTGCAAAGGTTGTCAGTTTCTCCATCTTTTACATGCAGCTGTGCAGCTTCTTTGCCTACATGGCATTCGGCCATCTCCAGTATTACGCAACCCAAGCTCCATATATCGGTTTTTCGGCCGGGAGTTTCATCGCTTGATGTACAAAACTTTCTTAGCATTTCGGGTGACATGTAGCGTACGGTTCCCCGCAGTTGTGATATATCCCCGGAGCAAGTAACGGCTTCTTGCATTTGAACTAAATCGTCCAAGTCACCGATTAGCAACATCCTGCTTCCGTTTGGCAGGCGTTTCACTAGGACGTTTCCAGGCTTCAGATCCCCATGTATGATTCCCTGCGCATGCAAGAAATGCAGTCCAACTGTGATGTCGCGACAGTAACGTTCAACGACTTGGTAGCTGCTAAAGAGAGTTGTGTCCTTCTTTGCTTCTTTGAGGAAAAATGATAAATCACCTGCAACATACTGTCTTGCCTCGACATGTGAGTGACTGCATATATGTCAAGAAAATTACGTAACTCACTGCTACAAAGCTCCATCAGTATCTGTAATGTCACTCCGTTAGAAGATCTCGTTATGCAAACTTGATGATGCGGTACTAGGTTTTCGTGCACTAAATTCGGGAGTTTCCGTAACCTGGCAAGCCTTTCCGCCCAGGTTGTCGGATTAACAATAATTTCGGACTGAGCTTCAAGATGAACAACTTTAGCGGCAACAACATCCTCTCCCGCATAATTGCCACGTTCCGTAATTGTAGCTTTATAAACTGCGCCAAATGCTCCTTTTGCAATGAAATCAGTAGTTGAATAATTATACCGGCAATTTCTCCCTACGATTTCAGCGTCGCGGTTGTCGGGCGCCTTGTACCAAATATTTCCCATTATTGTTGCAACATAACAAACCAAAAAGCGAATTATCTGCATAAGATTAATTTACAGAAAATTTATTCTACATATCTGTGCCCAGCAAAAGCGAAAAAGGCTACAACAGCACAGATATTTCTTTCATGTTGTTAAATAATTTCAGTCACTGCTTTAAATGCGGTCTTAGAGTGTGTACTAATTACTACTTTGTAGTATTTTACGATTAGATATCATAATCGGTTAATCCGAGCTTTTATACACTGTACAAACAGCATTCTAAAAGTACTAAAACCTCTTTATCACATCACACCCTACAAACACATATATTACTGTCTAGTTTGTAAATACGCTCTTATCCGAAGCAGAAAGCCGTACAGTAGTGAGTAAACTTGAATAGGTAGGGCGCTTCGGCTACGGATTCTAACTCGGAACTCCAAATTAAAGTACACTGCAACAAAATTATCCTCGACCAGACAATATTAATCTCTATAAATATAAAATAAAGCACTGTCAAGATTTCTGACATGGTGCAATTTTATGGTAAGCGCTTTGTTATTCGCGTCAGCTTTAAATTCTCCACCTGAATGTTTTTCGCTATTGTTATGCGGATTAACGCCAAATTAAAATTTTTACCGTTTTACGACATAACTAGGCAGGATAGTGTGTGCGTACAAATCGGCAAATATTTAGACAGCTTTCAAGAATATTTTATGGTTTCTCCAGCCTACGGACAGTTCGTGAAGACATTATTTTCTAAGCTGGAGCGAGCGCATAAGACTAGCAGCAAGGTTAATATTGAGCTCCATTGATAAAAATCAGTTATTAACTGAAAAAAGCCGAAAGGGAGGGCTTTGCTGACTTATTCTTAAAAATCTCATGGAATTACATTTTTTCCATCATTTATTGTTTGTCAGAACTTTTTGCCTTTCCCAGGATGCCAATAACGCTGCTAGTACTAGAGGCTGCTAGTGCAAGCTTACCACGTAATTTCCATCGCATCGACACAGCTACAACAAATTCACGGATTACGACAAAATCCATGCAAATGCGCCCCACGCAACCTTAGTTACGCTTTGCATGCATTTGGCATGGCTGATGCATGCCAATTATCGATCTAAAATTGTAAATTATCGATATAAATTATGAATTACTTGTCTTTAATCCTTTATAATTATTCTGAATCTTCTGAGGAGCAAATTCCACATTGTTGTAGACGTGCCTCTGTAGTGTAGTGGCATTCGCTCATTGCGCAATTTCACACTGAATATATGTTATTTGTACCTTTATGATAGAAATTTATGTACAGAAATTTATGATAGAAATGTCTGTATATGTACAGACTGTACTAAGGATTTGTCAACAACCGGTTATTTTAACTACTGATTTTTAGCAACGGGTTCTATTTCTATTTCTCTTCGTTCTCTTTCTCCGCTCCCTCATAATTCAATTGCACAACTTTTCATGAGTTCACTGAACCGTTTTTCACATACGCGTCGTGCACTGATTGTGTTCTAGAAGAGCATTCTCAGCAATTAAAATCTAATATATGCATTCAAATGGACACTTTGTTTTCTGTGTACATTGCAAGAATTTTATGTGGTGGGTGCCTTTTACTAGGGCTTTTAGCAAAATCAAAACAGCCATCTAGCATACAGTAGCGTGTCTACTGAGGAAACCATCGAAGTACTGAGCAGAATTTTCCTGAAGTTCCAAAAAATGCTATGTATATTTGCTAGGTAATTCAGTTGAACTGGCTGGCTATTTCATTCCGATGGACACTCCAAATTGTGTCATGTTCCGCAGTAATTTCTGGTCTTGTGCCGATAATACGACAGTCGTCCAGGCTTCCGCTCGAACACTATCGTAAACTTCTAGGGAAAGTGCGTGATTACGATTACCGGCGTCATTTCTGCCGCCGCATACGTATATCCTGTCGTTCACAACACGAGCGGAATGTCCGTATCTTGGTTGTTGAAATAAATGTATATTCTCCCAGGTGGCAGTCTTGACGTTCAAGCGGATACAGCCGGCTGTAGCGTCCCACGACCATGGGGACGAGCCTTCTTTAATCGTGCCACCCAAGATGTACACGTAGCCGTTCACAACAGCCATACTAAGCTGGCAGCGTTGTGGGAGATGTGATAAAAACGTCCATTCGTCGGACAGAGGATCGTACAGCTCCAGCCCGGTCAGACATTTATTTGTTGTGAGCGTATAATATTTTCTGCCCAAACTCAGCTACTGCCGAAACGTTAAACCTGCAGAGGGACACTGAATAAGTTTCACGTATCGGAAATATTTTGTGTATGCACTCGCTGTCGACCGCGCAACGTAAGCATAAAACGTTATACGGTACAATCAACTATTATATAAATGCTTCGTACCTCGTATATCACGGACCAGTGATACCACTTACCATTGAACAACGGGCTTGCGCATAAGCTTGACGCTGCCGTTGCGCATATTTTTTGCCACAAGTTCATGGCCATGTTTAAGGTCGATATCCCGAAAATAATAGATCATGTCGTCGATTACTACGGGAATGCGGAAGCGTGAAGGAGCCCCTTTGATATCGTTATTTAACCGCATCGAACGCCACCTTCCCCGAGATAGATCGCATAGAAAAAATTCGTTTTTCCTGTCGCTAGTGATAGTTCGGGATATCAGTTCCCTTTTCGGAATGCTTAGCTGAAAGTCGCATAACCTCAGTGGCAAATCCCGTGGTACTCCGAGTTCACGAGCTTGCATTTGGCTTGTTACTGGGTCAAAACTTAACATGCGGATATTGCCGATTAAGGTGTTGCTTGCAAATATATCGAGGCTAGAAACTGCAAACTCTTGCAGCAGACCTTTGGCAGATATCCGCTTTTTGGGATTTTGCTTCAAGCACAAGCGGGCATACGCCGCCAAACGTGCTGGTATGTCCGAACTGATGAAGGGTACATAGTTATATATTATTAACGAGGCAAAATACACTTCAGTAGCAATACTTCTAACGTTAAGGATTTTTCCATCTTTTTCGTATAGTTGCCCAGCCTTTTTGTACACATAATATTCGGCTATCTCTAGTATGATGCATCCCAAACTCCACATATCGGTTTTTCTTCCTGGAAATTCAGCGTGGAAGTGACAGAACTTTCTCAACATCTCCGGTGACATGTAGCGTACAGTTCCACGAAGTTGGGATATATCACCGGAGCGGGTGACGCTTTCCTGCATTTGCACTAAATCATCCAAGTCACCGGTTAGCAATCTTTTCCTCCCATTTGGCAGGCATCTTACTAGAACATTGCCGGGTTTTAAATCGCCATGGAACTCTTTCCCATCGCTTTAGTAAATTGTATCACTTTTCCTGCTGCATCTTACCCGTGTGCAGGCGCTCACGTGATACTTGATTTCAGCCATTTCACGTCGGTTTGCAGCTATAGTTGATTGTGAAAACTGATAAAGAATACAGAGAAGAGCACGGCAGGCGAGATTTTATCGCCGGCTCAGTAAGCGCTGATTACAATGGATACGATATCAGTATCACGTGAGCGCCTGCACACGGGTAAGATGCAGCAGGGAAAGTGATAAAATTTGCTAAAGCGATGGGAAAGAGTTGTCGCTTGCCTCGTACTTACTGTTGCCAACAACTGTATACTTCTGTTTTCACTTTTCAGCGTAGAAGACCATTTCTACATAATGGACTGAGTGCGAAAACAAGCTGCCGGGCCGTGCTAAAATGAAGCTGCCTGGCGAAAATGTTTCGATTGGTCGGTTTATTTAATTTTCAAAAAAACCGACCAATCGGAGAATTTTCGCCAGGCATCTTCAATTCGGCACGGCCGGCAGCTTCTCATCGCACGCAGTCCAATGATACCCAGCCGAAAGCTCAAAGGCAGTCGTCCCGCTCCTACAGTGATCTGGCTTTTCGGTCGTTGCACTCACTGTTCGCAGTAACAGAGAGTGTAGAGCATTTGCGATTAGATAGTCCAATCAGGTAGAACAAACATTATAATTATTGTACGAAGAATAATCCAGAAGTTAAGGCTTGTTTATCTCACATAACCGCATGTTTGTTATTCTTCAGGTATTAGCTGTAAAGTCTACAGGTATTTGAAGTACCAGATTAGAAAATCGTTTGCTCTTGGAATGCAAATTGTAAACGAAATAACAATAATTGAATTAATTTGATTCGTAAAAGCAAAGGATTAGCAGCTACCATGGGAATAGGGTGCGGCCAAACAAATTTAAGGTAGAAGACACTACACTGTAGTCTGTAGCCAATGCGCTGTAATATGCTACTTTAGGAGACTAATGTGCGGTCGATAAGTATTTTCTTTTTAGTGTGCATGTGAAACGAGGTTAAAACAAAAATTTCTGATTGTTTTAATAGAAAAATATCGGTACGTAACACGAACAGACAGTTTCCACTATATATAGCAGTAGTAATGCGATACTACATAAGTAGATATGACTCATCAAATATTAAAAATGGCGTCGGTTACGTCAAAAACTGGAGTTGGGAACTGGACTTTCTAGTTACAATTCCCGGTTGGACTTTATGACTACAGCTCCCAACTGTAGCATATGATTCAGCACAACTGCAGCATATGATTACTGCATATGTATACTGTATAGAAGTGCACTACCTAATTTACACACTTCCTGATATTCACACACAAGTTGTTTACATTCTTTTACCGCGTGGAGCGGCACTAGCATATTAACGCAACTGGCTCGCCAGCGATGGTGCTGCATACTATGCGCGTCTCTTAATTATTGAAAACACTTGTAGTAATGCTGTGCACTTGTAATATACATAATTATTTGCCAACTTACCGAGTAGTTTAATTGCTTATCTGGATTGTGCACGACTTGGATATAACTGCGAAACTCGACATGTGCCCAGTGTACTGTATGGATACTACTGTACACTGCACAGTTATATTGGTTCACTTTCACTGTTTGGTTCAACAAGTTGTTTACATTTTTTTACACTATGGAGGAGCACTTTAACGCATCAGGCTCGTCAAAGCCTTTCAACGTACAGTAAGTTAAAAATAATTGCTTTTTAGTGGATATTACTAGTTCCTCTATTCTCAGCTTATTTATACATAAATAATCATAAAAACTAACAGGTACGATGGAATATTATTTTCTTTATCACTGTACATTATGACTGTAGTGTGTAATCAATTTTGACAGTTATTTGCAGTCTTATGGTCTATTGCGTGCATGCTTATGCGTACGTACAGATCAACTGGAAAAAGTCCGCCAGGGTCGCCGCAAATTTTTTTCCACTGGAGCTAAAGGTGCATTTCTATTAACGATTACTCCGCTAATTGCAGAATTTATGAATTTCTTGTACACGAAGTAATTGAAGCTAAGGTTTTTAGTTCATACTGTGTTGGAACACATGGTATATTTTTTATGTGTACATAGTTTCGGGGATGCTACAAGCAACGAGGGCTCGAGTAGAAAAAGTTGGCCTGAACTTCTCAAAGATTTTTTCCACCTTGTCAACGGTATGGCGTAATTTGCTGATTTCGCAGTTTTTATATTACAGAAATTATTATTATATGCTTGTATGTTAGATCAATGCTTTTATAACAAAAAATACATTTCGTAATGAACCCTAGGTATCATAATTAATGATCAATGTACTGTACAGTATTGCACTGTATATACTGTACAGTGCAATACTGTACAGTATTGCACTGTATATGTAGTGTGTACCATGTACTTTTAAGGCTAAACGTTCTTTACATTTCTTAATAAATTAAGCACTGCTGCTTTTTAATGCCAGGTAATAGAAATATGCAACGATAGCTTTTTTGTAATTTTATTTATTTCTGCATTTAGTTTCCTAATAACAAGCGCAATTCGTTTTCAGCAGTTTGAAGAGTATTAGCATCCTTTGCATTTAATAAATTAATTTTTCCAGAATGGAAAATCATCGCCGTACAACCTTGAAGCCGGACTCGCATGGCCGGAAATATTTCAGGTTCAAACATGGCATCAGCTTTTGCTCTTATTGGGTTGTACAATTTCTCTAAACTAAGAAATTTCCCAAAATTAAAAGTGGCGACAATGTTAACAATTCGTGGATTCTTTAACGATGCTTTTTGATAGCCATATTTTTGCAGTTTCCGGTAATAGTGATCCAATAACGCGAGAGCATCACTGATGGACTTTGCACCATTAACTGTGATCTTGCCGTTGCGGTACACTTGGCAGTGCGATTTGTAAGGACGAACGGAACGGAGAAGAAGCCCGGAAAATTTATGCGGTGCATAATGAGAAAGCGGAGCGCGTTCGGATAAGCTGGGTAAGTCAATTGCGCAGCCAAGGTCAGCAGTTGCAACAACGTTAGTTATTTTCGCCATTCAGCCAATTTGCAAATGTCTCCGCTTTTGAAAGCGTTGTTTTTAGTAATGAAGTTATCTCCTTAAACTTCGGGCACCCAATGTCTTCAAGATTAAACACTTCAGGCAGATAATTTTCCAAAATCTTTTGCTTTTCCAATCCTTTGGCAAAAAACGTCAAACGCGCAGGTCGTTCACCAATAAGCTCCAGCATATCCTGAATGGCACTAGCGATGTCTAAGTATAAATAATCTCCACGATTATGCCAGACAAGTCCGTGCGAGTGACGCGATTGGCTACGAAATTCAACGCGGTAATGATTAAAGTGGGATGGAATGGTGAATGTGTAGCACCTGCTAACACCAGTTGGGCAATCACAAAATGCCAGCTGTTTTATAAGCCGTTGGGAGCCAGCGATAAACCAATCAATATCCAAGACAACCCTCCGCTTTGAAGTCTCCATTCTGTTATCGGTACGCTAGCAATAGCTCCGCCCTTTGGAAATGGATTCCTTAAATAGGTATCCGCGCACGACAGCTGATTTGAGATTCCGACTACCCGCTTCGGTCCTTGTTGTGGGGCCAACGACTTCGGGGAAAACGACGTATGTGTCAAAATTAATTATGGAGCGCGATAAATTATTTGACCAACCATTTGGAAGAATTATTTTGGTGTACGGAGAAATGCAGCCAGCCTACGAAATGCTTCAGCGCAGAGTACCTGGGATTGAACTGACAAAAAATATTCAACAAATTGTGGAGGATGAAATTTATTTTGATGGTAAACAAAATATTTTGTTGATACTGGATGACGTGGCAAGCGGTTTGGTGAAAAACAAGCATTTATCTAAACTCTTCACTCAAAAAGTACACCATAAACGGCTTTGTGTATTTTTATTATTCAATAACCTATATAAACAAGGGTCTGCTATGCGAGACGTGCATCTTAATGCGCAGTATCTTATACTGTTTAAAAATAATCGTGATGTGAACCAAATCAAGATTCTAGAAAGGCAGACTGGTTTAAAACATCTCAGCGGGGCTTACGAAGAAATCGGCCAGGAACCATTTCAACCTCTCATTTTGGATATGAAACCGGACACACCTGCCTATTTAAGGATTCGTTCAGCAATATTACCGGGAGAGTTGACTAAAATTTACATCAATCCACATACGACAAACTTGCCCAAGAATGTGTGATCAGATTTTAAAAGACTTTGCACCGTTTCTCCTTACCCTGCGATCGCTGAAACCCAAGCAGCGTCGTTTTCTTTTGGAAAATATTTCGAAACGACAACTTCGCTGTTTTGAAGAAATTTGTTTGAATTTGGTGAAGAATTCAGTGCCTCTTACCACCGATCAGCTCAAGGTGTGTCAGCGTTGGCGTCGACCATTAAAGCTGATTGCCCTCAAAAAATATCCTTTACGAAGCAAGAGGGAAATTTTATTACAGCGCGGAGGATTCTTACCTGCGGTTCTACCTGTATTGGCAGCTGTTTTGGGAACTGCTTTACTGAAATGAAACCGGAAGTGCATTATATTGTTCCCGCGAGCGAAATGAAAAGACTTGCAAGTGACACGGTTGGTCGTATTGTAACGGATGTCCAATTACAACAGCAGCCTACTGAAGTTGTAGATATTGTAAAACTGGATGATTTGATGAGAGATATAATTTCACGGAATACGCTCAGCGAATGGGAGAAAGCGGAACTGTTATCAAGAAACTTGGCTCGCTTTTTGGCGCTGAAAAAGTCGGCGTTTGGCCCTGACCAAATGGTTATTCCGCCTCCAGCATTTGTGCCCCCAATTCCAGTACAACTATTAAAGAAGCCGTGGGTACCCCCTAATATGCCTGATCGTATGTTAGATGCTTTCCCTCCTATTCCACCTGCACCCCCGGCAAAACGCAAGCGTGCAAAGCGAGAAGTATTTGATGAAAACACTTTACAAATCGAAGGTCCCATCGGTTCAAGAACCAAATCTCAGCTCAACTGGATGACTATAAATAACAAATGAGTGGTGGATGCGTTCCCTTTTCTTTGTCTTGGGGTGAAGGTATGACATGGAACTGCACATCTAGCTGTTGCGATGGATCAAGCAGTAGCGACGACGAACACGATGGCCAATCTACTGCTACGACAAGCGTACCTGAACCCTCTGCACCCGGGCAGCTTAGCGGGGATTCAAGAGTTTCGCAACCACTTTCCACAAGCACCAAACTATCAACAAACGCGGGAACAGCTGGAACATCTGGATCCATATACAGTCCACAAATCTCGACGCAAAAAATTCAAAAGAAACCCCGTAGTTGTCTCAAACCTACTGGAGCAATATCAAGCCGATCTGGCAGACATGTCAAAATATGCGAAGCAGAACAAAGGATACCGTTGGATATTGTTTGTGATCGACGTCTTCAGCAAGAAAGTTAGCTGTCAACTACTAAAGAATAAAAGCGGTCCAGAAGTAAAACTTGGTCTGGAAAAAGTGTTTGCAGAACTCGGAGCTCCAATTAAATTACAAACTGACAAAGGTCTTGAATTTTACAATAAGGATGTTAAGAATTTTTTGACGGCCCAAAAGGTTTTCTTGTTCTCTTCTGAAAATAAAGCAATCAAAGCATCTCTAGCTGAAAATGGCATACGCAATCTCAAGAAACGCATATGGAAATTATTTCAACACCGACAGTCTAAAGTGTACTGGGACGTTTTAGGCGATTTGGTAAACAGTTACAACAACGCAATTCATTCTTCGCATAAAGTCACGCCTAATGAGGTTACCCAGTCCAGTTCTCTGCAAATATTCAATCGACTATATGCAGAATTATTATTGGGAAAACAGAAAAAGCCAAAGTACAGCGTAGGTGACACAGTACGAGTAGCCATCGACAAAACACTTTTTGAAAAAGGATATGAGTCAACATTTAAGGAGGAAATTTACAAGATACACCAAGTATTACCACAACAGCCAGAGCCCCTCTACGTATTACTGGATGAAGACGGGGACTTACTTCGCGGGAAATATTACGAAGCCGAACTCAGTCGTGTCAGAAATGGCTCATAATAGTTTTTATGTCACGCTTCTATCTGATGCCTGTATGCAACAGTTTCCAAAGAATAATGCAGCTGAATGGACAACAAAGTTAAAGAGCGTGATACCCCTACCGGGACAATGGGAAATGGCATTGGTGGAAATACAGTATCCTAATTCAATGTACAATTTACCCAGTCCCCAAACACTGGACGTAGACCAAATTACTTCTACGGATAGCAACGGTGTTTTTGTTATGGAGCGGAATACAATTACGGTACCTGCAGGAATCTATGAGAAAAGTGACATCATTAATTTTATCAACGGTAAAGTACCACGGTTAAAGCCATTTCGCGATTCTGCAGCGGAAGAACAGGCGGCTTTCCAACTAGAATTATTAGCAACAGAGCCCAAGCTCAAAGTGAAATTTCCCAGCGTACGTGTTTTTCTGGATTTTCCTCCCTCATCTTTGCATCTATCCCGTATGCTTGGATTTAAGGAACGACGATTTTCTGCTGCACAGTCTGAACAATATGAGAATTTTTTGATGGAAAAAACGAATTTTGCTTCCGCAGCTACAACACTGTCCGACCAGCTGAAAGCCTTGCCAGAGTTGCAGCTGTTGGAGACGTCTATAACAATGACAGCAGATAAGCCCGTAAATATGCACATTGGGAACCAATCAATTTTTGTCTACTGCAACAAGTGCGACTACAATATTGTGGGCGATAAAACTATGCAGCTTTTGCGCGCTTTCCCCATTAAAGCAAGTGTTCCTCGCTTCGAAATTGTTTCGGAAAGGTTTAAGGATCCACATTATCTACCTGTTCTATACGATAGACTGGACACTATCGATATCAACATTGCAACTGATCTCGGAGAAGCGGCAATTTTTCAGACTGGAAAGTCAATGGTAAAGCTACATTTCTGGCCCATTCAGTATTACTATCGCTAAAAAATGCCCGTAATCCTCTTTGGGCCGTCACCTTCGTTCTACCTGGATTTATTTGCGGGGGCCGCCACGGGTGCTGGTAGCCAGCACGGCTATGGAGCCGTCATGACACGCTATCGCGGGAGTTTAATGCAAAATGGCAGTGGATTTATGTTGCCCAATTTTCTGCGCGCAATGTTTAGTAAATTAGCGCATTTTGCTGCCCCGGTTATTAAAGCAGCGGCACCACATGCCAGAGCAGCAATGGAAGCAGCAAAGCCTCACTTACGCGACGCAGCGAAAACAGTTCTTAGTGAGACATCCAGGAAGGTAGAAGAGAAAATTTTGGAAGCGTTAACTGCGCAACCCCAACAGCAAGGAGGCATTAAGCGGCTCAAGCAGCAGCACAAGAGGACTAAGAAGATAAAGAAACCTTGTTTCCGACTTAAACGGCTTAAGCGGATTCCCCCAAGAGAATTTGAGGACGAATTTTAAAATGGCTTTTATTTTGGAAGGAAGTGTACCAGCTATGCAGATCGAGTCGGATTTATTCTCCGTTCCGGCCACTTTAGCGGATTTTGTGCGGACAGAAGAAGAACGCATTCTACCGACCTCTGGCCAAACAAAAGAAATTAGTTCTGGAGAAATTTCCTTTTACATTCCCCCTTCAACGTCGGCGCTGCTAGTGCTACCAGAAATTACGCTAGAAATGGATATTGCAATCAAAAAGGACTTGGTGCGGCCACGCATATTGAAAACACGGATCTGGTAGCACCAGTGAACCTAATAGCGCATTCTATATTCAGCTCGGTAGAGGTAACAATGGCCAACCGCCTGATAACTAATTCGACCCCATTGTATGCCTACCGAGCTTACTTGGAAAATTTGTTGGGATACACACCGGCTGCTCTAAAAAGCCAGGCAACAAGTGCTGGATTTTATATAGACACCCCCGGGTACCTAGAGGATCATACCAATAACGCTGGAGAAGTAACGCGCAAAGCCATGTTTGTGACCAACGAGTACGTCCCATTCAGCGCCAAATTATGTACGGACATTTTTCAGCAGGGAAAAAATTTGATCACCGGTGTACCGCTACATGTGCGCCTCATTTTGAATAAGCCGGAATTCTACCTGCGTTCATATGCCAATCTTCCAGTGGATACTTTTAAAGCATACATTCGCAATCCGCGGCTGTAGGTCAAACGCTTCGTGCCTAATCCGGCATATTTGTCTGCGCTTACTGCCCAATTATCAACAAAAACTGTGAAATACCCTATTGAGCGAGTGTGTATGCGTGTTAATGATATTGGTACGATTCAAAGCACAGTGCTGGCTAATTTACATATTGGAGCAGTACCAAAATGTGTTTTTGTGGGATTTGTGAAAAGCTCGAGTTTTCACGGGCTGCGCCGAGGTAATCCATTTAACTTTGAACATTTCAACCTCAACTATATAAGTGTCGAAGTCGACGGACAATCGTACCCCGCACAAGCCTACCGACCAAATTTCGCCACGGGTGACTATTTGCAATCATATGACGGTCTGTTGGAGACGCTTGGCCGCTTGCACCGGACGGGGCGTTGCCTTTCGACCGTAAAGCATTTGCGGAAGGATTTGCTATTTGGGGATTCGATCTGACACCTTCACGGACAGGCCTCGGACCGATGAGCACCGTGCGCCAGGGAAATCTATCAATCCGCCTGCAGTTCGCCGCCCAATTAACTGAACCAATTATGGCCATTACGATGATGGTGTGGGATACTATTATTGAAGTCAATTCACATCGCCAGCTCATTGTGGATTTTACGGCTTAAAAACCTATCGTAAGTGTTGTAAGCCTTAAAAATGTCGTGTTGTTGCCTGCGCAGTAAGCTTCAGGGTCGCCAGCGGGGGTGGGCGCGCTGTCTGCCCCTATTGACGCTGAAGTGAATCGTTACAGAAATGGTAAACAATGGGCGACCGGAGCGCTTCGCGCTCTCGGTCGCCCGTTGTTTACAGGACAAAATCAAAAAAGCATTTTTAAATTTGATATAATATGCAGACTGGCACTACAATGGACACTGCTGAAATTAGTCATGTGTTACGTTCAAGTGCCGTGACACGAGACGTTTTTATTGGAGTTTTTGCTGCGGACATGTTACCATCGTCGCTGCCAGCCAAGCTGCCATGGGCATGCGTTGTTAATACTGACGAAGCTGCGAAATCTGGCTCGCATTGGCTGGCGTTCTACCAGGCTATACCGAGACAGCTGGAATATTTTGACTCCTACGGACATGAACCGCATTACTACAGCCGCCACATTAAAAATTTTTGCAAGAACGCGGGCATAATTATTTCGCAAGCGCATCGCGTACAGATGGAATGGAGTACCGTTTGTGGACAGTACTGCTGCTTTGTTATTTTAAAACGATGCTCCGGCGAATCGTTCACGTCTCTTATTCATTTATTGACGAATAGCAAATCTTCGAACGATCGAATGGTTTGCGCTTATGTTAATTATTATTTTATTTTGAAAACTGTAGTCCGTGATAACTCTCTGCTTATTCAGTCTGTTTTCCGTCAGTTAATGCAATAAAGTCACGTCATCAACGCCAGTGTTTTCACGTACTGTTTGTATACGAGTAAAAATAATATGCTGTGCACCAAAGTATTTTGTAACCACAACGTGACGTTGCGCTGCATCTGTTTTGATGCAAAGAAAATACTTTGTCAGTGTGTAATTTTATCCATTGCGCAGCGAAAACTAACGATTTCTGATTCTGTTCTGTTCAAAGAATGGTTTACCATATTGTTGTGGACATTAAGTGGTATACGCTTAATGGCAAGGCAGTTATTACGTCACTTGCAATAAGTTCTGTGGAATTTTATTGCCTTTATTATACGACATTTGCGCTAGCGCCAAACAATTACATTGTTAATAAATATGGCATTTGTTCTTCGGATATTGAAGCTGTGCTCGATAAAGCTTTCTCTGAGTTAGAACAGCAGTTAAGTCGAGCGTTTAAACATTATCTCCGCTATGTTGATGATCCTGCTGATGTCGTTTTCTATGCAAAAGCGGGACAAAAGTGTCTCATTCTTCAACAACTGCTAACGTCTGATGTCATTAATCTTGATACACTTGGCTGTCCGCGTTTTGCTGCCCTATGTAGCGACAAGTGCTACAGTCCTAACAAAGCGCAAACTTACTCTAATTGGATGTTGGACCACTATTTAAAAAGCCGTACAAAATGCCTGCTTTGCCGTATGCCGATTCCTGAAGAAAGAGCTCACCATCAACGGCAACGATACTGCCGCAACAGAAGACCGGATAAGAATTCTTACTGAGGTATGCGCAAATATATCTCGCTATTTTAGAAAGATTGCAAGGAGGTCTATATTATTGCAGATGATGAAGGGAACAGATGTTGCATCCGCTGTGGCGCTGCGTTTCCCTCGAACGTTGATTGTGACTGAAGAAAACACGTTGCGAATATTATCGCACACAGCAAGTTTCACCCAATGAGCCATCAGATTTTGTTGGCCGTTGTAACTATAAAATGCATTACGGAATTTTGCATCCACAAACAAATAAACTGCTTATATGATGCTGCATTTATGCGAATAGCAAAGTACTGCCATCAGATTGTTTTTTCTGCACCATGGCACCATTTCCTGATCCGTCAATACCGTCAACTGCCCTTGAGACCGACGCGGAAACTGAATTTGCGGAGAAGTGCTCTATTTAATCATAACTACGCGCTTCTTGATCATAATTATTCTGCAGCTCCGGCTCGTGTACCTGTGCAGCGTTTAGAGGAGCTTGATCCAGATTTGTATGATATTAAAGAACATTATGAGTTGGAAAAAACTGGAGCCAAATATTCGCAAAAGTTTTCAGTTTTATTTGAGACTTATAAATGTCAGATAAACGGCCTTGAAAATTTATCGTTCAAGTACGCAGTAAAAACCATAACTCTTTTGTTGAAAGATATTCTCGAAACGGTGATTTCCAAAATTCCTGCGCACAACTTGGTGAGAATTCGCATATACCAGGCGTCATTGCAGTACCCTATTGGGATGCCACCTATTAAACGCGATCAGATGACTATCGAGCGATGGATGACAACAATTAGAAGGATTTTGAATTCGAATCAAGCGTTTTTATTGGACGAATCTTTTGAACTCTCAGTACAGCATGCAGATACACCGATTGGCTCATGCAGAAAAAACGTCTCCCAGTTGTTGCGGGAAATTTTGGACAGAAAACGTTGCATCACCCAGATTCGAAACTCGGACAGTTTATGTATGGCTAGAGCAATTGTGGTCGCTAAAGCGCATGCGAATGGCGATAAAGAATTTTATACAAAGCTTTACCGAACCAAAAAACTGCAGGATGAAAAAAACCAAAGATTTACTGCGGGCCGCCCAGTTGCCAAGCAGAGAATACAGCCTGGAAGACATTCCTCGGTTTGAAGAAGTTTTACCAAATTATCAGATTATTGTAGTATCTGTCAACCACGGAAACTCAGTTGGTTACTGTGGGGCTTATGCTGAAAAGCGAATTATGCTGCTCCATCATGACCGGCATTTTGATGTTCTGACATCTTTGCCGGCTTACTTCGAGCATCACTACTACTGTTACCGCTGCATGAAAGGCTACAATCATCGGGAAGACCACCGGTGTGAGTTCAAATGTCACCAATGTCTGTCTGCAGCGTGCAAGATGCAAAAAGATTCAAAAATACATTGTTCGGAACGTAATCGCCACTTCTATGGTCAAGAGTGTTTTGAAAGGCACAAGTCTGGAACCAGTCCAATCTGTTCAAAGTTTTTGTATGTGAAATATGCAAATCTTTCGTTTCTCTTGTAAAACGTCGAATGCGGACAAATTACGACGCACTTCAAGACAACACAAGAGATGCTGACAACCGCGATGACGACGAGGACGAACCAGAAATCGAACTGGACATTGACGATCAGCAACATCGTTGCGGAGAAGTGTACTTCACTTTTTCACATGCCGGAAGAAAACCATGTCTGCTATATGCAGCCCATCGAACTTACGGATAACGAAAAAGCGAAACATCTAAACGAAAAATTTGCATACTTTGACCTCGAAACCTATCAAGATGAGACAGGCGAATTCCGAGTGAATCTAGCAGTCATCGCAACAAAGGATGAGAAGTTTGTGCTCCCTGAGGATGGAAACATTAATGGCGACATCGCAGATGCTCTTGGGAATTTCATTTTCAGCGAACGTTTTCGCGGATACACTTTTATTGCGCATAATTTAAAGGTAAAAAATATCGAAATCAACAGCAGCAACAGCCCATTCATAACTAATGTTGATGTGGTTTGTATTTCAGGGGTTCGACGGGTATTTCCTGTTAAACTACTTAGTAAAAAATGGCGTTATTCCACACCCACAGATTTTCAATGGAAGTAAAATTATGCAAATGGATTTCAGTAAACTAAAAATAAAATTTCGAGATTCCATGAACTACGTGCCATCGTCACTAAAGAATTTCGCGAAGGCGTTTGGTTTGCAAGAAACTAAAGGAGATTTTCCACACAAACTGAATACACCTGAAAATTGGAACAAGATCATCCCTTGGCCAGATCGGCATGACTATGGTTACCAATCCATGAAAAGATGCGAGCGGAAGCGTTTCATAAAATGGTTTCGCAAGGAACGACGCCGTCATCACAATCAGTTTGATTTTAATGCACACTTCATCAAGTATGTCCGATCTTTTTTTATTAATAACACATTCGTCATATTCGGTTATTTCACAGGTACTGTTCTCAGGACGTTCTCATACTACAACAAGCACGTGAGAAATTTCGAATGCTTTTCCAACAAGTATCTGGTGGATTGTGCCCATTTGCTTCGGGTCTAACAATGCCTGGAATGTGCAATTATTTTTGGAGAGCGCGAATGCTGAAAAAGAACCAAATTGCTTTAATCAGTCCACGAGGACAAGGAAAGAAATCATCTGTAAAAGCAGAACGTTGGCTAGGATCGATAGAACTGGATAACGATATAAAATTGGAAAGAGAATTTCGACTCGGGCACTGGACCGTTGATGGTTTTCATGCAGAAACCAAAACAGTTTAGGAATTTTTAGGTCTGTCACATAATAATACGTTTTATTAGCTTTGACCTTTGACATTCACCGGTTTAATATTTCTGTCTCTAGGATGTATGTGGCACGGCTGCAGCGACTGTACCACGAAAAGCACAACGCACCCGTTTCTTGGTAAACCAATGGAAGAAGTTCAGAAAGCGACTGTTTTGCGCCTTGATGCAATAAAAACTCTGGGATACACGATTCTATCGATTTGGGAGCACGATTACGATATGAAATTAGCGTCTGACAGTGAGTTTCGAAAGCTAACTGAGCTCGCCAACGTGATCGAGCCGTTGCATCCTCGGGACGCATTTACCGGTGGCCAAACAAATGCAATAAAGCTTTACCACAAATGCGGACCGGGGGAGAAAATTTATTCACTTGACGTTATTAGCGAATATCCATACATCAACAAAAATTTGCCATACCCCGTTGGACCACCGGTTGTTATTACTAACGACTTTCCACCAGTGGAAAAAATATTTGGAGTGATAAAATGTCGCATTATTCCACCACCGTCTTTATTTCTGCCAGTGCTGCCCTACCGAACGGATAAGCTAACCTTCCCGTTATGCGCAAGATGCGTGAAAGAGCGTGTTAATTCTCCCTGTGATCACGAGGATGGCGATAGGGCTCTGGAAGGAACGTGGTGCACACCGGAAATTCATCGAGCATTAGAGGTCGGCTACCGCATCGATAAAATATATTCCGTGTGGCACCACCCCGAACAAATGCAATATCTATTCAGGGAGTACATTGACTTGTTTTTGAAGCTGAAAACTGAAGCGTCTGGTTATCCTTCAACCTGTCAAACAAACGAGGAGAAAGATTTTTATGTTGAAGAATTCCTTGTTAAAGAAAACATTCAGCTGGATAAAGATAATATTGCTAAAAATGATCCGCTTAGAGCGCTCTGCAAGCTTACGTTGAATAGTTTTTGGTAAGAATCGTAAAGCTGTCAAAAACCCAACTTATTTATTTATGGATGATTTGTTTTTTACAGGGGAAAGTTTGGGCAACAGGAGGACCGCTCTAACACGGCTATGGTTGAGAAGAAAGGGGTCTTTCATGACTTTTTATTTTCAAATAAATATGAAGTTGCCGGATTCGACTTGGTTACGGATGAAGTCATGGCAGTACAATACCGTTCGAAGAAGGATTATATAGTAACGAATAAGAAAACCAATGTTGTCATTGCGGCTTTCACTACTTCGTATGCACGATTGCACCTCCTCAAATTTATGGAGATGGTAGGAGACCGCCTGCTATATCATGATACCGGTATGCAGTAACAATAGAATTTTCTTTATTTGCCTTCTTTATTCTTTGGGTTTTGATTCGTTACAGATAGCATTTTCTATGTTCACAAAGAGGAACTGCCTGATACACCAACGGGAACTTGTCTTGGCGACTTGTCATCATCGCTGGAACCTAACGAGCACATAGAGGAATTTGTGGCGCTTGGTAAATTATTTACTACCAATAATTATTGATTCTCAAGTACTATGCATGTGTATTACTTTTCTTTATAGGGCCTAAAAGCTACGCTTATCGTACCAACACTGGTCACGAAACAATAAAAGTGAAGGGATTTACGTTAACGCGGCAGGCTAGAAAACAACTGAATTTGGAAAGTTTAAAGGAATTGCTACTGGAAAGCCTTGCACCGCCGGATGAACCAAGCGATATTATGGTTAACTATCCGTTCAACATAACGCGGATTAAGCGCAAGTTGGAGGTTCTGTCTACGGAAATGAATAAGCGCTTTAGACTTACCTACTCAAAACGTCGAATTGTCGACACCGAGTTTCATACTCGTCCCTGGGGTGATGTTTCCAGAGAATAGACCTTCAATTTCCAGTACCGTACAGTTGTTAATGACAGTTTTAATATTATGGCTAATTCCAAAAAATGCTTCCAGTAATATTATTAAGATCAGCATGATGACAATGCAGGAGCCTACTGCTGCCTCGCAGAAGTTCTTTTTGCACACAATGCGAGCCATCTTAGCATAACTATGTGCTGGTAGTGGGTTTGTTTTCTTTGCACATTGTATCTTTAATAGTTACTTCAATAGAAAATTTGCATTAAAAATCGCAGCTGAACTCTAATTAAAGATGTGTGAATAAATACGCATACTAATACGTTCCATGTAAATTACACTGTAACTATAGTTGTACAGTATATACAGTGTACAAACTTACTGGTTCATAAAGTAGAACTGGGAACTAAAGCTATAAAGTCCAACTGGGAATTACAGCTGGAAGGTGTAGCTCCCAACTCCAGTTTATGACGTAAGCGCCGCCATTTTTAAATAATTGATGAGTCATATCTACTTATGTCGTATCGCATTACTACTTATAGCCTATAGTGTTAGCAATATCTGTGATACAACCGAAAGCATGAAATCGAAGTAAAAAGCACGCACCCATCTATCTCTAAAAAAAAACAATATACGTAGCGTTCAGTCATCCAAAGGATCGTTCAGAAACGGGTGATCTGTGAAAACCGACTGCAGATATTTATTTTATTGTTGTACATGCAGTACACACCTATGGGGTGGCCTCGTATAATGGCACGCTTACCATATAGCACTTTTTATTTAAATTTGTTGGCCACGTCCTGGTGACCTTGGCAGTCAAAACCATTTTTTAAGTAATATCGTGGCGTATCGTATCGTCAAAACCATTTTTTAAGTAATATCGTGGCGAACGGTGCAATTATACAAAAAAATTAAATTTTTCTTAGAGGTGAGCCGGTGGCGCTCCTCGGGTTGGCTGATATTTTTACACTGCAAGGATGATCTATTGTCGTCTCCCCCATTTGCTGCTAATCTTGTACGCTCAAGGCGACAGTCGACCACGGCCCGCCTCCATTACTATCGTAAACTTCTATAGAAAGTGCATGATCATTCAAAGCTGTCCTGCCGCCGCATACATATATCCTGTCGTGAACAACGCATGCGGAATGCCAGTATCGCGGTTCTTGAAGTGGGTGTATGTCCTCCCAGGTGGATGTTGTGACGTTCAAGCGAAGACAGGCCGCAGTGGCAGTCGACGAACAAGAAAACGGCGGTTCCATGATCATGCCACCCAGGATGTACACGTATCCGTTCAGTACGGTCATACTGAACCCGCTGCGTGCTTGCCGCAGATTTGGTAAGGAGGTCCAATCGTCCGATAGCGGATCGTACAGTTCCAGTCCGGTCCATGAAGCACCCAAGTGGCGGTAGGCGTATAATATCTGCTGTTTATACGCAGCCACTGCTGATACGTCTAGCCTACAACAGATACCCAAGTCCGTGTTAACAATGCATTTAAGTAGTTCAATTAAATTTACATCGTGCCGTGAGCTGATGTGGCGACATATTGACCATGGTAAATATGGGGCGAAAATTGTACTGAAATACGCAAGCTTACCATTTAACTCGGGGAAGCCGCAACACCTTAGTACTGCCATTGCGTATGTTCTCTGCGATAAACTCATAATCCGGACCATAATCGTAATGGAAATAATAGATCTCGTCACTGATCACAACGGGAATATGACAGCCGGTGAAAACTTTTTTGCTTTTATTCGGCGTAAATGAACGCCACGTTCCCTGAGGCACATTCCACAGATAAAATTTCCTTCTGAGATCCTTTTCGACAGACTCAAAGAGCAGTTTTCCTCTCGGAATACTTAACTGGAACGGCCATATTTCTACTGATAACGTGGCGGGTATACGCAGTTCAGGAGTTTGCAATTGGTGAGTCACTGGATCAAAACTCACAACCCGGATATTGCCACCAGATATGTGGCTACTGAATACAATGGCGTTCCCAACGGTAAATTCTTCCAACAGCTTTTTGGCAGATATTCTCTCTATCGAGCTCTGCTGCAAGCACAGCCGAGCAAAAGCCGCCAAACGTGCCGGTATGTCTTCGCTTACAAAGGGCACGTAGCCATCCATTATAGAATCTGCAAAGCGGATTTTCGAAACACCGCTCTTCAGGCTGACAATTTTTCCTTCCTTTATATACAACTGCTCAGTTTCTTTGCCTACATAACATTCTGCAATCTCGAGTATTATGCAGCCCAAGGTCCAAATATCGGTCTTCCGTCCTGGACTTTCGCCTTGGAATACGCAGAACTTTCTCAACATTTCCGGCGACATGTAGCGTACCGTTCCGCGCAACTGCGATATATCACCGGAGCAGGTAACCGTTTCCTGCATTTGTACTAGGTCATCCAAGTCACCGATGAGCAAAACTCTCCTGCCGTTCGACAGGATTTTCACCAAGATATTCGCGGGTTTCAGATCGCCGTGTATTATTACCTGCTGGTGTAAGAAATTCAGTCCGGTTGTAATGTCTTGGCAGTGGCGCTCAACAATTTCATATCTGCTGAGGAGGGTGTTGTCTTTTCTTGCTTCCTTAAGAAGTGATGTCAAATCACCTGAATTCAGGGCCCGCGTAATGCGTATAACGATTGCATCAATAACTTCAAAGAAAATCATGCAACTCACCATTGCAACACTCCATCATTATTTCCACTGTCGCTTTGTCAGATAACTTCGTAATGCGAATTTGGTGATACGGTATCAGGTTCTTGTGCGCCAGTTCAGGAAGGTTCCTCAATCTAGTGAGTGTTTTATTCCAGGTTTCTGGATTAGCAGTAATTTCAGATGGAGCAGCAATGTGAATAACTTTGACAGCCGCAATATCCTCTCCCACAAAGTCACCGCGTTCCAAAATTTTAGCTTTATAAACCATACCGAATGTTCCTCTCCCAAGGAAGTCAGTAGTTGTTGAGTATTGATACCGGCAGCTTCTGCCGATATTTTCGATCTCGTGTTCTTCGGATTTGATGGACACATTTGTCTCCATTACAGTTGGTCACTGAAGAATTATATGCCGAATAGCAGGTTTAGAAAGCGAATTAACTGCGAAGGATATTAACATGTGTAATGTGTATTATAAAAAACCATTTCTGCAGAACTGCATTACCCCAAACACCAAGCCTGCACTGATCACGCTTTGACACTGGTCACCGCTTCGGTTTTTTGCGCTCCCTGCTCGCAACCATAGAATGAGTGGTGACTGGTGAGTGTGCACTTGTAAATTTGCATGTCGTAGCTTTTGCGATTACAAAACGCAATCGACTAAAACGAGCATTTTGTTGTACAAAAGGCATTCCTAAAATACATGTACAACAGTACAAGTATGTTTTGTTATGTCGCAATTTAAACACCTTCTGCTGTTACTGCATAATCCATCATCTATAATCTATGTAGACCACCTTGATTATAGAACAGATATTTCAAGATTACCAAGATATGAAAAAGTTAAAAATTGGCTAAACGCGCTAAGGAAGAATGCGACATCTTAGAAGTGCTGGCAACTTTTTTCTTTCTGGTAAACAGCTGGTGCAAATCATCGGCTCCAGGCTAACTGGAAAAAAAACAATTACTAACGGCCTTGCATTTAATATCAGCTATTACTGCGCACATTCCAGGCAATCCTGAACGCATAATTATTCTGGATCGGCAAGCAAGTCGTACGATCGATCCATTAATAAAGTTACAATCGACGACAAAATTGTCTCAACTTAGGACCGTTAGCCGCTGTCGGCTTACAGCGCAATGAGCGCATACGATGGATGAGCGTTGCATATCCATTGCTGTATCCGCTTATTAAGCAGGACAATTTTGTCGTCTACTGTAGGTATTAAAATTTCAATTCTGCCTGCTTCATTGACTAGAGTAGCCAAGCGCACCAACGGACAGTCTCAAATTATATCCTTATCCAATATGCTGAAGTCCCAAGACGGAAGTCCACATGCCAACACCGATTCCATGAGGGATCTGTACAAATCACAATCGATCTGCGGAAAGCGGCAAAATACAGAGTCTCTGCAACGGATTATTCAGGGATTAGTTACTTCGCATTTTCTGCGCATACGAAGTTTTTGCGTCTTCTCCGTATAAAAAAGTGGATTCAACTTTCAAGGAAAGACCCGTGTGCTAAGTACAATGTCACGGTCAGTTGAATGCGTAACACGAGCGTTTTCTTGATGGTGACTTCCTTTATCGGCTTGTAAAAGTCTCGACACGGCCATAAGGGAGTCGATATCTCGGGAGACCGTACGGATAATAATCACTGAACGTCTTCCAGCGGCGGCTGCTCTTTTGCGATCGGCTTTTGATTCTCCATTGAATCTGATTAATGTAACATGAGCGGCACCGGCTTAAAGAAGCTAAACAGCGTTGGCCCGGCTACGTGTCTCGAATAATCATTTTAACGCCGCTCCATCGTGGCTAAAGCGATTTATACGTATACAGCGTTGTGAATAAGCAGAATATTTAGCTTATTATGTCGAACTGCATTGCACCAAGCGTTCGGCTACATGTCGTAGGTAGGAATAGTGCGGCATGGTCTCTGTTATCCAGGAACATTATAAGGATGTTCGTTATTGCGAATCTTGCTTCAGGGCTACGAAGATTCATAATTACATCTGTTTGGGCTTGATTTTGCGCATTTTTCAATGGGTGAAAGTTTCTGCAACATTTAATTTTAAATTTACTGCAGTTCAACGCGGAAGATGTAATACTACAGTAATTTGTTGGTTATTTAATCCTTTACTGCAGCGCTTCATGATTGTCAGTGCCGTTGACCAGGAATCCAGGACTCGTGTTACACTAATTGCAACGCGTATACCCTGCTGAGCTGCAATAATTTCCGGGTCGTCTAAATACTGCATTAATTGCGCTGCACTTTCCGTCTCGCACCCTCTCGATTTGTAACTCTCCAGTTTGAGAGGCAGCTGATTTCCGATGATCTGACAGTTTTCTCGCAGCAAAAAGAAAAATCCGAAACCGGAAACTGCTGGTACCCTTACTGGAGGAGGTATACGGTTGTTTACTCATGTATGTCTTCCCAGGGAAAATCAGAACTCATTGCAAAGTCATCTCCAGCATACGTCTCATACTCTCCCGATTTGTGGCACTCCAATTTGGAAAAAAGCTGATTTCCGATGAACTGGTATAAGTTTTCTGGCAGCAAAACAGAAAATCTGAAACCGGAAACTATTATTGCTCTTATTGAAGAAGGTATACGGTGGTTTCTTCATACGTATATTTTCCCATGGAAAATCAGCACTCATTGTTAAGTCATCGCCCAGCACAATAGTCTACAAATCTTCCAGGCAATGCCATTTTTCTTTTACACGTACTGAATTACTCTACGCTCCTTGCACGGTAGATTACTTACCGTTATACTCGTACAATACAAATGAATGCATCCAGCAACTTTTCCGTTCTCAACAACAGCACACCGCCAAGCTCGCTTATCCCCGCCTCGATTATCGTCCCCTGGACAGCGACTTATTTAAGTTTGTGCTACTTCGGTGGTGTGGGCAACCTCGTCGTCGCCGGTCTGATCCTGTGTAATCGAAAATTACGCAGTGGGTGTGGCTTGCTCATTGGTCACTGCGTCGTAGCGAACACCCTTCTATGCATTGTCTGCTATCCGCAGACAGTGGTCAGCATCTACTGGAAGCTTATCAACAACTGGAATATTAGCTATAGTTACTGCAGTACATTTATGTGGATTCAGCAGAGCTGCCAATACGCCAGTAATACCATGGAAGCGTACATTGCATCCAACCGCGTTGTGGCATTGTGCTTTCCGTATAAGTATAAAGCGTATTCCCAAGAAAAACTGGAGCGTGTTGTCATCGTGGCCATATGGATTTGTTCGTTTGTGCTGGGATGTCTCGGTTTATTTGATCTTGGTAAACAAACTGCTTTTTTACTTATGCAAGTATAAGTATTCCAATTTTCAATTTTATCTGGACTGTACATTCTCACTACTACAGAGACGGTGCCAAAAACGCATAATTTTCTGTCGGTTCCCCAAGTTGTCTGCTGATATTTAAGAAATTATTTAAGAAATTGTCATGAAAATTACAATCAAATACTGATTAATGTTTCCATCTAATCAGTAATATTTTATTTTAATATATGCCAAATTATTTTTTTTGGTCTTATAGCTGTATTTAGTGTTTAACTACTACTTTGTTTATCTGTTGTTCGTTTGGTAATAAATTACCGGTATTACTAGAAATATTTATTATGGATTTTACAAAAATGGTTGCATGTCGCAAGCAACTACACAACTGTATTTTGAATTAGTAATTTTATGGAGCGGTTCTAAACAAAAGTTTTTTTATGCGTTCGTTCAGGCACATTCTACTTCGTCTTGCCTATCGGAGCATGCAGCATTGGACAGAAAGACGTGGGCGGCCTGTTGACCTTTATCGCGGGGTTCTACTTTCCATTGGCCTGTGCCGGCACCGGTTACGCCCTAATCTACCTACGCATGCTGGCCATCCGCCGCCGGGCGACAGCAGGGGAAGGTAAAGAGCGCGTGGAGAAGACCATCGAGAAGAAACGCCTCAGCAAAGCCAATATGATGTTCGTGTCTTTCTTCTGGAACCTCATCTGCTATCTGGTTTTGCCGGTGACCATCGTCTTAGCGCCACAGGTCATTCAAAGTCCGTTCATCCTGCTCTTGGGGACGGTGCAGCTACTGGGATATGTGATCAATCCGGTACAGAACGTTGTGCTTTCCATTAATCGATTAATTAACGTTAAAATTTAATGAAGATGTTGAACATTTTTAGCTGATACTCTTTTCCATGAGCGCGGAGTACCGAACGGAGTTGCGGCGTATCCTGCGGAGCGTTGCGCACGCGGTGTTACCGTGCTTCGCTAGAGCAACAGACCCGTCGGGACACTCGACTTCATTGAAGCTGTCAACACTGCACAACCGTTCACACCAGTCAACAGATGTACCCATGCCATCAGTGTAGATCGCTATACAATACAGGGGAACCCTGTGAAATTTACCCGGTTTGCAAAGTGCTGCTGTTATATACTCGTACACTGCCGTAACAGTGGCTTAGACTTTTTCGATGATTTGCCATTCATTTTACTAACACGAGTTCTGGAAGTTTCGTTGGGCGACGGCACTTACAAAGATCGTTGAACATACAGTATTTGCACGCAAATTTTTCTTGCAAACATCTATGTTTCGCTGTTTCAGGCTGTGTTATGCATTTACTTTGTCATTCTTCTCAGTTTTCGACTTGTAGGGATACGCATATGAATGATAATGCTTCTTAATTGTGATGCACATATCCGCGCCGGTTCTCGTTTCCAGTTGAACACCGACAGTAACGATATCGCATCTTTTTTTACTCTGCTGATAAAACCATACAAAAACACGCATGCGATCAGAAAATGCCGATGGGCAATCATGAAAATTCATGTAAAATTTTCGGCACTAATTATGTAAAATACATTAGTTATATTATGCTTAATCAATTCTTGCACGCCTATCTAGCGGCACTTGGCACATTACCGAGACTTTGCGTTTGCCTCATAATGTACTTGGGCAGTTTTGCTGTCGCTGTGCTTTCAAAAAAAAGACGGAGTACAGTGCAGTGATTTCCGCAACTAAAGGTGCGCTTTTTCTTACGGCAATACCATATCCGGCTGCTATCGCTCAAAAGTACGCCATATCTCTTTCGTTTTTACACGATCTTAGCCGCTTTTGAACGCTTGTTCTGTCAAGTTCGCTTGCCGGTAATCCGTGTTATACCGGTGTATTTACGCGACATAATTTACCGGCGGGCGTTATAACGTGTTCGATCTTATAATTACGAAGCCCAACTACGGTATTCTTAAGCCGGCAAACGGAACTGACAAGCTGCTGCAGGCGCCTTGATCTTTTCCGACTACTTAAACAACCGGCGCTCACGTTTTGTTTTCATGCATTCGCATCATTTAAAGCTACAACGAGAGCAACCAGCTAAACCTTGAGTGCTTCTTGTGGATTAACATCGGCTTCTTGCTACGTTATTTTTATTTTATTACTGTTCCTGTTTCGTTTGCTAAGCCGGTGTGAAAATGGCAATGATGTTTGTACCATTTCTGGATCTGTTCAAGAAGACCGTTGTCTCCCATGTCACCATGCAGGCACTGCAAGAGTTGGGGAAAGTACTGGATAAGAAGCATTTAGTATCCCATGAAGAGCGCAATGCTATGATCGAATACTGGTTCCATTATGATCAGGAATACCAGTTGCTGAAAATCCAGCTAGCACTGGATAAGGCGGTTCAGCATCTGGAAACACAGTTTGGTGCCGGTATTGCGCAACTGGATACGGCATTAACGTACCGCAAAATCGACGAAGGTGCGGCCAGAATCACCTTTCTAAACAACCACATAAATACAACAAACCTGAATATGAGAATTTTTTATGGTTTTCAAAATATTTTCGAATGATCTTAATAGCTTTTCATAAGAAATTTCTTTATGAATCGTATTGCAATATTGCAATAATATTGTACATGAAATAACTGGTTTTTTGTTTCTCTCGTTTTCGTATTCTCCAAAGGTTTATCTTGAAGGTTGCTAAATTGTTTGGTTTTTGTATGTTATAATTATAATGCTTAGTAAAAATAAGTACATATTACGTTAATTTGTGTTGCATTTGGCTTTGATTCTGACGTCTTAATTTTTTTACACCGGTCGAATTTATTGTAAATGGTAGATATGTAATGAAAATATTATTGGAATATTATTTTAAAGGTATTTACCTGGTTTGCCACGCCCTTCAAGCCTATTTCCAAGCCGACCCGGCGTCACGCGATCACCAGAAAAACGACTTTCTCCGCGTCTTCGAGCGCCAAGACCCCAAAGATCTATTAACGCTTCTGCACAAGCACGTCACAGTCAACGATGCTGCAGGGCAGTTTCTCCACACACTGATGAAGAGCTGCAACTATCATGCTTATGAACACTGGTGCGACCACATCGCCATCACTGCACTGCGCGCCTACCTCAGCTGCATGCACCAATTGAATATCATCCACGATGACCTGATGAGTCAAGTCCTAATGCGTCCGCAGACCGTGCAGATGAAAGTCAACATTATGGTCAACCAAGTGGAGGAGATCTTGAAAACCTTGCAGGAATCGAAAGATGGATCCAGGGGGCGGATTTTTCACGGCGCGGAGAACAACCAATCAGAACTCATGGATTTGGTTGACAAGTTCATGCTGCACTGTGAAGAAGAGCCGATGAGTCATAACCAGCACTGTGCAGAGAAGTTAGGAGAAGAATTATCGGAAAAGTATCCGTGGTATTCCTGGGCGGTGATCCTGGCGGAGGACAGCTCCAGACGCCCCAATTTCATCATGTACTCGGATGATTTCCAGGATGACCTGTTCATCCAACGTTCTCTCCACTCGCAGATCTTCCCGTACATTGCTTCCAGTGTGGCGAATCGGCCGCAGCACGATATTATCCTCAACGGGAAGAAATTCGGGATGATGGTCGTGAAGAAGCGGGTGCATGTCGCCGGGAAGATGGCCTCGCGGCGTCGCTTGATTGTGTTGTGGACAAAACCGGAGGACGTGGTGTTTCTTGGTTCGGATGCTAAGGAACTGCTGCAGGATGTCGATGTGAAAGATCTGTTGCCGGGATCCAAGGAAGACTGTATTCGGGAGCAAAAGAAAGCGTGGGATGTTAAACAGAGCGTAATGGAGAATATTCTGTATGAGGATCAGATGCAGTATGTTGCTTGTATCGGGATCGCCGGGGAGCGGCCGCAGGGGGAACTCGGTGTGTTCGTTAAAGCGAGTGCGGACGGGGTGAGCAGTTGGCCAGAGCGCGTTCAAAATAAAACCGGACAACTCTTTCTCTGGGCTACAAAAGGTAACTAGAATTCTTCCTAAATCAACACTTAAGACAGTTTTCAAAAAAATAATTAAGTTACTTTTGCTATGCTTTAAAAGAAAATTCTCCTAATTATGCTTGAATTAAACATAATTGTTTTCAAAATACATTTATTTAATAAGAAATTTCTTAATAAGATGTTATATGTATCTTCACAAATACATAAAGTAGTTTTAATAGTGAAATAGCTTAGAAAAATGTGTAGTCTTGTAAATTTTATGTACAGTATTTACAGTACATAACTACAGAGTACAGATAGATTAATTATTAGACATTCTGTAGATTAATATTTAAAAAGTTAACTCGACCTAATATGTGTTTTATTTTGTTTGACTTGTTCTTGCAGTGACCTCGAAGGGTCTGGAATTTCGCGCTCGCCGGTCCTGCATGTCCCTGTACAGCTTAATTTCCGGTTTGGTACCCATGGCCAATGCCTTGACGGACAGCAGCGTCGGCACGAAGGCGGGTAATAGGGATGATATCCTCATAGAACTGGCGGACGATTCGGCGTCTAATGCGTCTGCCGGCATCGCTAGTCCTGCCGACAGGATCTCTCCGGATGACCTGGTTTCCGGCGGCACCGTTCGGAGCCGTGTTGATTTCTTCGAGCGCCGACCGAATGTGCAAGCCTACCAGTTTTCAAAAGCTCCCAAGTAGCTTTCAGGATAACCATATGCTTGCACTGCGAAAGTTGCTGTAAATTGCAAATGGCAAAAGTATTGCATTTGAAATGTATTATTGTTCTTCGGATTTTGTTCTTTATTTTTCCGATGGTTTATGATGTTTTTGCATTCCGCGACTTTCTGTCTACAGAATTATATCATCACAATATGTGCTGAAATCCGTTTGCAATTAACGCTTTGTGGCTGCGGTCTGCGGATCACGTACCCGGCCGTACTCTACCCTAGTATTTAAATTCGATTTCACGGAAATTAACCATTGATTTGCTGGTTCGGGGTTTTGTACATGTTTCAGTACTGCGCCGTTAGGCAAATTTAAAACACATTTACCAAATCAGTAAAGCTTTTTTACTAAATCAGTAAACCGGAGTTTGGCTGCTTTGCAGTCACGAAAATAAACCGATTTACATTTTCTATAACTTTTTTTACAACATCGGCTTACCATTTTGGGCAAAAATCACGAATCGGAAAACAACAAAAACAACAAGAAACTATGGTTTTCATTTCGTCCAGTTTTGATAAACAATAAAATATGAACACCCGTTTTCCCACGCTGTCGCTTCCTTGGGAATTTCATGCCGCTCAAGTCGACCGCCCGCAACCGGCGTCTTTTTGATTTTGCTTTGCTAGGCCCCAACAGACGGCACTTACATTAACGCATCCTGCTTTTTTTCTACACGCAAAATATGCGCATCCGGCTGTGTAGCAGTTTGTATGCGGCTTGGCAGCGATACGATCGGATGAGTGTAACAGCCTTTCCTTATACGGCATCTCTCTGTTGCTGTGTCTCTCTGTCTGACTCAGCCTGTGAAACACACACACACACTGTAGTGTGTGCTTTGGCTCTCTCTCTGTCCTTTCTCTCTCTCTCATTCACCTTCAGTGCGGATATTTCGTACAGCACAGCGTGTCTGCCTGCCTCTGCTGCATTCCGCCATTCTGCAGGGATTCGTGTCCGTGCATCGTGCGATTTTAAATTCCACCTAAAAGATTCAAAACCCCGATAGATGATTGTTATCATGGACTAGATTCTGGAGGAATATATTTTGGCTGATTGTGTTGGGATTATTTAATTTGGGCGAGGATTGACTACTGCCCTGTGGATGGGGGGATGCTGAATAATCGCTTTATCAGGTGAAGACTGAAGATGCACTGCGTTCTGTTTGTCAGTTCGGGGTTGAAGAATTTTTTGAAAATTTTTACTAGCTTGTTTCGAGACGGCATTATAATTTTATGAGAGGATATTAAAAATTCCTAGACAGTGGTTAATTGATGCAGAAAAGCCGGTTTGTTCTGCGCCAATTGGGCTCGTTAAGTAATCTGGCGCAAACGCTGTAACGTCGGTAACGAACTTTGATGGACTTTGAATTATGTGTGATTTATCATTTTCCATACTTGGTCAGCCAGCACTTGCAGTTATTCTACGGATCACGCGTACAGCGTTTTAAACGAATTTAAACCTTATTTTGCCAGTAATTGCTGTCGATGAAGCATAAATTCAGGAATTTTTTCTTAAGTTTTCTGAATGTTTATTAATTTATTATTTTTTTCATAATTTTTTACTCAGTAATTGGCCATCAAATCGGCGCTGATAACGCAGAGATTTTACTTTGTTCGTTGAAATATTTGCAGAAGAATTTCTAAATATAGTGAACGTAGCAGAGAATTTTCCGTGTGTTTTTTGCTGGCGAATCATCATTTTATACTTTTCCAGTTTTTCTGCAACAATTTTCATTTTATTTTTTTTTAGGATTCGGCTTTTAATTGGCGCTGATGACGCAGAGATTTTTGGTTGATTTAGTTGATATAAAAAACATCTGTTTCGTGGCGATGAGTAATGTAGAACATTTTCTTCATTATTTCTGAATGAATAATATTTTGTATTTTTGAATATTTAATTACTGTAGTCGTGAGTCGGCTTGGATGACGCAGAGATTTTGGGGAAATTTCGGGGTTTGAATAATTGTTGGAGAATGTCGGGCAGACAGACGTGCCAAGTGTGGACGGTCTGAATATGCGAAGTTTGAACACAAATCTAACGAGATGACACGGTTTCCAATATAAAGGAGCTGTTATTGTGTTCCGCATTAAGCGCGGCTATTTTTAGATTTCTGTCATATTCTTATGACTTATGTATAGAGCAGTGTTCCGCACGAAAGGCCAAAATGCAGATGCGTTTGGAACTCTGTACTCGTAATTGCGCGCACCCTCACCACTAGCTTTGCGAAAATTAGCAAAAATTCATTAATTTTCTGGTAAATTTCAGAGTTTTCTTATTCGTTCCCATTTTTAGCGCGCGCACCCTCACCACTAGCTTTGCGAAAATTAGCAAAAATTCATTAATTTTCTGGTAAATTTCAGAGTTTTCTTATTCGTTCCCATTTTTAGGTTCTAAATAAAATTAAACTGAAATTTTTCTAAATTAAACAAAAATGAAATGAAGACAGTAATTTGTTATTCTAAATTTTTTTACATTATTTTATTGATTTATGAAGGAATTGCGGCTTCAGAAATATTAGCAAAATTAAATTAAAATTTTTCGTAGTTATTTTCCAGAGTAATTCACAGTATGTGTTCTCCTTTTTTAAATTCAGGATAACATTAGCTACTTAAAATTAAGCGTTGAGTGAAATTAAGTAATACATTTTGTTAGTGACTTTTTTCACATTAATGATTTTTGAATTAATTGTTACGGTGTAATTTGCTTAAACTGGAAAATCCTGGAATAACTAAAATTATAGAATTTTCTGACGGTTGGACAAGTTATTGCAGCGGCGGAATTTGTAAGAATTATCGCTGCGCTGAAATTGAGCAGTACTTCGTATTACAAATTGTTGGTTATGTATTGCAGCGTTGCCGGTTGTGGATTGATGTTTTGCATGGTATAAATTGCCGGGCCATCATCGGACATCTGTGAGAGCGGCCATCGCGCTGCGTCGGAGCGATGCCGGACCGGAAGTTGCGTGGTGTGCAGATGCTGCACATGTTCTTCTTGCTCATCAATCTCTTCTGCGCTCTCCGTTCCGTTTCTGCTCAAGGTGCGATATCGCTGTATTACAGCCGGGGCCACACCCGATCCCCTCATTTCACCAACTAAATATTGAAATATAATATTCGCCGGAAATTTTCCGGCGTTTTTCAAAATAGTGTCCGTTTGTCAAATTATAGTAGCGCCGTTTTCGTCTGTTAAATTATAGTTTATAGCTTCTGTATTTTTTAATAAAGACATACGGTAAGTGGTTTTGTTTGAACCATGCAGCTCCGCGGTTGTTGTTTTTAAATTCAAATGGATTAGTTGTTGTCATTAATGCAGATAAAATTATCGTGCTGGCTTTTGATAATCGTTTATTCCGTATACAGTATTTTTTAGTAATCTGTGTTTCTAAAGCTTCTGTATCCTTATATTTTTTCGCATTTACATATATATATTTTTTTAAAAAAATTTTATTTTTCATCTTTAATGTTTTGCGCTGACAACACAGGATGGGTCTTATGTGCTTTTTTAAATTTTGGTTTAAGAAATATTTTTTTCCTGTTTTTACTTTCATCGCGGTGCGACATTCTTTTAATTTATTACTAAATTTAATTAATTAATTTTGGCGCAGAGTAACAGGAGATATTGTATGTATCAGAATATTTGTGAAAACCAGTCCATCTGCATAGGGATTCGTAGAACAGTGGCACTGTCACTACGGCCTGGGTTGGTGTTGGTCACAACATGAAGTCATAATGGATAAAAAATATTTGAATAATCGAAATAAAATTTTTTGCAGGTCTTTCGGAAGAAATCGTCGCGAATCCCTGCGTGGTACAGCAGACATGCAGCGCCTGTATACAGGCCAATCCCAATTGCGCCTGGTGTCAACAAGAGGTGGGGAAATAGTCCAGTATTTTGGCCGGTGATGTTGATCTCGTTTCCGCTGTGACCAGCACATTTTGCTTCCCTCTCGACCGACATCAGCGACATCTAAATAAATAAATCAATATTTTTAGCATAAAAAATCCACGCAACAGCCGCCGTGTGTGCTGCGTGTGTGGCAGAAGCGGTGTCCAAAATACTTCCACACACCGATCGATTTTGCCGCTTGGCTGCCTTACGCAATCAACCGGAAATATCGTCCTTTTCATAACGGCCCGTAAAAACCGGTTTCCATCTTTATCGTTTAAATTCAAGCGAAAAAAATGTGTTACTGAAAATTCATAATTAAACCAGAAATTCCTTAATAATAAAAAAATATTTTTGAAATGTGTAATAATGTAAAATTTTACGGTAATGAACGAAATTTGTGCAGATTGTATTACTAAAATAAATTCGAACTAAATATATTTAAAGGTTTTTGGTCACTAATTGTCCGCATAAAAATTGGTAGTTAGATGAAATGAGTAAAACGAAATAATTTGTATAGCAATAAAGTACTAGACGTTGCCGTGCGAAGTAATTTAATATTTAAAATACTGATAAGATCTCGGCGTTGAGTGTTCACTTAACATTCTTATTATGGGACTGCACGAAATCACCATTAATAATGTATTTTACCGTAAAAAATATTGCTGAAATAAATAAATTGAACTGAAATAAATTATCAGAAAGAAATGCTCAAAATGATCTGCACAAAAGATTGATATACTGTATATGGCTGACGTTTTGTAGTGCAGTGGCAGTCTCCACAGATGTTAACGCCGTTAAACTGCTGATTTCATGCTTTGCAAATTTTAAAACCGGGTACTTGTAATTTGTTATAGTAGTGAAAGGGAGTACTTTTTTTATTACTGGCTGTAACTGATGGCGTTATTGTTGCAGAATTATGGTGAGAACACTTTAGCGCCACGCTGTGATTATGTACCGAACCTGCTGGCCCGGGACTGCCGGTTTGAGAATATCGTCAATCCGGAGAGCCAGCTCATATACATCAAGGTGAGATTCTTGGCTTTGTACCATTTTTGGCTAATATGTTTCTAATCACTTTTTCAAAATAAATTTCAATAGATCTAGTTTTCCGTTGACTCAGACTTTTTCATAATTTTTGATTTTTTTTCGATTTTCTTATTGAAGTTTTTAGTAATGCTTGAGACCGTGTGCATAGTATCATCCCGACTGTTTTTCGAAAATAAAATAATTTAAGTTTTAACTAGTTTTATAGAGAATTCCTTATTTGCCATTTTTTATGTGTATTACGTTTTATATGGAAAAAATCAGCGGTACTTTGGCAATTTTGTCCGCATATCGTTGGTTTCTGCCTCCATTAATTTAATCGCTAATTTTAATTAATTAATCGCTTGGTTGAATTACTCGTAGTATTTTTATTTTTGCGCAAGGATACACTATGATCCGGCTTAACCGATTCTTATTTCGCAGAATGAGAGCTTGAGCAGTGAAATCCAGTTCTATCCGCAGCACATTTCCTTAAGGCTGCGTCCACGTAAGTGCACCAGCGAACTGCCGACAACAGCAGCACGGCTGTGATGGTTTTAATCTGATTTTATTTATACCGTTTATTCCTGTTTTTTTATTTGATTATTTTGTTGGATTTGATTTTGGGGATTAAACTGAGAATTTTCTATGTAATTCCACATCTTTTCATGTCGCTGTTGTAATATGGAAATAACTGAAAATTGTAGTGCAGAGGCTTTTAACGGAGTTCTGTGACGTTCGCTGTCTGCATTTGGTATTCATGAATATTTCTGACAATTTTCATAGAGATGAAATGCATAGATGTTCTGAATTTTTTTTATTAATATGGATTTCTGAATATTTAGTCTGTTTTATCTGTATTGAAAAAACTGACGGTGAACATATGTGGCTCGCGATTTTAGCAAAAATTTCAACGGTGAAGTTAGTCTCGTTGCTGCAGAAAAAACCATCATATTGATTTGTAATAAAAATTTAATCCGTATATTTTTCCGGTAATGTGCTGGTTGAGTGTATATTTATTTTTCATTTTATGTGTGTTTTATTTTTATTATTTGAGTTTTTATTTAGGTTTTTTCGTTTGATCGTATTTTATTCGTTTCATTTGTGTGTGTTACTTTTGAAATTAATTTTAGTGGGATTATAATTGCTGCTTTCTGTCATAAACCGATGATAAACGCATGGGAATTGTAGTGTAGAGGCTCTTGGGAAAATTCTTCGAAGTACGACATCATTTAACTGGCTTTCCCCGAAAGTTTTGGAATTCAAATTTCGTATGATAAAACATTTATGAAACTTTTTTTCCCATTGATTTTTTTATTAGATTTATGACATATGTTATTCACTTTAAATTAGACTTTATGTAAAATATCAAAATTCGAAAGATAAAACGTTTATGAAATTTTTATTCCTACTTGTATTCCTACTATTTTTTTATTCCTTCCTCGAATTTTATTTTTTCAGTTAATGTTATTCATATTAAAATTAACTTTGATTTTCCTAGTGAAATTTGTTCATTTATGGTGAAAAGGTCATGACGCGAAATCGCAGTAAGAGAGTAATTTTCCGGTGGCCGTTGTAGGAAAGCCGTTTCCACTGGAAGCGAAATTCAAGCAGGCCAAGGATTATCCGGTGGATCTGTATTATCTCATGGATTTATCCTATTCTATGCTGGATGATAAAGCCAAACTGGCATCATTGGGCCGCATTCTAGGTTGGTCTGAATTTCCTGCTGACCGTAATTTATTATTACGGAAGTGTACAATTTTCTTACAATTCAATTAATAAACGAACTCTGATATATTTTCGTTTTTCATAACATGTTTTTATTATTATTGTTAATATTTACCGGCTTTATTATTTTGATAATAATGTCCTGAAAATGTTTAGTTTAGCTGGATTTGTAGACTTCTGACTTTTAGATGATGAATTAGTCTTAAATTTTGTTAAAATGCGTTATATGCTTTTCTTCTCACATATTGTGTTCGTATTTTCCCGGATTTCGTTTATGAAAGCCTAGAACGAATTTGTTTGGTCTTCGATTTGTGGTCTGATATTATTACAGATGCTTAAAGAGGTTCTGGGTGTTTTTCTGTTGTTCTTGACCGAATTTTCTGAACCTAACATAATTTGTATGCCTCTTTTTTGTTTGTTTTTTTCAGCGGCGGAAATGCGGAAAATGACCAGCAACTTCCGGCTGGGTTTCGGTTCCTTCGTGGATAAAGTGGTGATGCCATACGTCAGTACTGTGCCAAAGAAGTATGTTAGCCAAGAGTGCAGAAAAATAAATCAGACTGAATAACTATAATTTATTTCGGTCAAATCAAATTTGATCATTTTTCTGTTGGTGCCCGACTGTTTTTTTTCAATATTTTAAAAGATAATCGATCTAACAGATCATTCTGGTTTTACGGAAAAGGTTAAGATGAACTGAAGTATCTCGAAGTTCCGGTGAATTTTTTTTCGGGCAGGAATTTTTTCATTCATTGATTTTTTAATTTGTTGGTTATTTGGCATAGATTTTTGTTTTAATTGCCGTATGTTTTTGCCGGCAGATTGGTTAGTCCCTGTGATAACTGCACAACACCCTATGGTTTCAAGCATCATATGACGCTCAGCGAAGACGACGTTATTTTCAAGGTTGGCCGATTGTTTCTCTAATTTGTGTTCCACACAAAACGTAATGAAATGCAAGATTATTTAAACAACTGGTCCTGCATGATTCCTGACCGGATTCGCGACAGAGATTTTATTTGACGTTATTTTGATAGAATTAGGTATTAATTTACAAACTCTAATTGTATAAACTTAAAATCAAAATAAACAATTAATTTTAATTTTATTAGTAGAGATTTTGTTTCGATAAAAGCTTTTTGGGAGATTCTAAAAAATTATAACTGCGATAAAAAAATGTTAGTAATCTAAAAGAAGGACTCACTGTGGACTATGTTACAGCAACGTGTGGAACAAGCCGCCATATCCGGGAATCTGGATGCACCGGAAGGGGGCTTTGATGCCGTTATGCAGGCCATTGCCTGCAAGGTAATGGAAGAAATTAATTCTAACCAGCAATTAATTTAACCCAGAAATTATTTTAATCCAGAAATCCACATCCAGAAATTAATTTTTTACTTATAATCTAACCACAGTTTCCGCAGTGTTTGAATGGTTTTCTTAGGATGAAATCGGCTGGCGGGAGAAGGCCCGAAAACTGCTGGTTCTGTCGACGGATGCCAGTTTCCATTATGCCGGCGATGGCAAGGTAAGGTTACCGCGTGGTTTTCTGAAAGAAAAAAAAACTAACCATAATTATACAGTATAAAAATGAAATTTTTTAATATTTAAATAGTTAAAATTTTAATGGGAATTCGAAAAAAAAAATCAAAACATTTAACTCAAATTCAGAATTTATAATTTTTTCCGTTATGAAGTGTTGTGGTGGTTCGACCGAATTATTAGTGCGTTTCTTTAACATTTCTGTAGCTTTTTGTAGGTGAGAAAAAAGTTTTTTCTTAGCTCAACCTCTATGACGTTTAAACGTAAATACACTCGCTTTTTATTTCAAACTTCACTTGTGCGCGTGTTAAGAACATTAAAGAAACAAAAGTTCATTAATCATTTCCGCTCTCCTCAAAGGTACCCGATCAATGGTTACAACATGGTGTAATGTAGTGCAGTGGCAGGTATTAGAAAGTCGTTGATTTGATTGTTGAGCCTAGATGAAGGTTTCGTTTCGATGGCTTTCTCAAGTTATGAAATTAAATGCCAATAAATTTTTGGAGGTAGCATTATTTTTTTTACGGTTTTATTCTGTAATGTACTACCTGTTGCGATGTTTGATTAATAATTCTCGTTTAAACCTAATTGTACACTGCCTAAGTATGTAACATTGTGTCTTTGTGGTCTTTACTTTAGTGAGTAATTTATTTTGACAGTTGGGCGGCATTATCACACCCAACGATGGCGCGTGTCATTTGGGATATCGGGACGGGGAACTGCAGTACACGGAGAGTTTAACCCAGGTATGCCACTAATTATTTTCCTAAAATTGGGAAATTCTCTCAGTGCAAGAAAACGATGCACTGTGACTGCAGTACAAATTATTTATTCTATAAAACAATTTATTTTCAAAAAATGGGGAATATTATTCCGCTTTGGAAAACCATATTTCGTGTATATTCTCTCTCATATATTTTTCTAAGAATGATTTTATTAGAAAATATTATTTTTAATGAGATTTTTAATTACAAAGAGCCGTTTGCTGTTAGTTTGTGATATAATGTTCGTAATAAATTTCGTATTTTTGCTTGTTTTTTTTGTTATAAATTTCTCACAAATACGTGGAATTATTATTCCAGTTTAATGAAATATTTTAATCTTTCCCATATAATTTTCTGAGAATTATTTTGATATTATGAACTAATATTTTAATGGGATTTTTTAATTACACAGTACACTGAAGAATATTATACATTATTATTTACACTGAATATTATTTTATTATTTACACGTAATATTATTTACTGAATATTATTTACACTAGAGCGTTTTGCTGTGATTTTGCTATAATTTTTGTCGTATTTCTTCTGGGCACCACTTGCTCGGTTGTGTATTTGTTTGATTAATCTGTTCAATTTTCGTGACGCTGTACTCCGTTATTTTGATGGTATAGCAGCTGTTGCGATGATTGTGTTTGCACAGTCAGAGCGCTTGCCGAATGCAACTAGGTCGTGTCAACGGCGTTGAATATGCCGTCGTTAATATATTATTACTTTCCTTAACCGTCACCGCTGTTGAACAGGATTATCCGTCACTGAGTCAGATCAACCGCGCTGTGAAGGAGAACAAAATCACCATGATCTTCGCCGTCACCGAGGACCAGCTGCCCACGTACGAGCGCCTCAAGTACTTCGTGGAGGCCTCCGCCGCCGGCAAACTGGCCAACGACTCCTCCAACGTGGTCGACCTCGTCAAGACCACCTACATGGTACGGACACTTATTAAAATTCGCTGTATTATTTTCTTATATTTATTGGGTTGGTGTAATGAATTCAGTTGATTCTGAATATTTTATGTTAATAATTTTATGGATAATTTAACTTGGAAATTATTCAAATTCGCTGATGAATTTTTTTCTTTTTTTCTTATGTTTAATGGATTTGCTCAATGAGTCCAATTAATTCTGAATATTACATGTTAATAATATTATGGATAATTTAACTTGGAAATTGTTTATTGCTCAGATTTGTTATTCGGCCGATTTTAATTTTCCTTTATTTGCACACTTCGAAAGACGTTTAGTAATATAAATATACAAATTTCCCTTTGTTCGTTTTCATTATTTTACCAGCACACGAAGCGGCGCGCGCGTTCTGTGAAAAAATTAATTGTAAAACGTAAATTTATTTTAGTTTTTTTATTATTTTAATTATTTTTATTTCTTCGGTTTTTCTGAGTTAATTTCTATTTTATTAAGTAACTTTATTTACTGTTTTATGCCCATACGTAAAATGGATGAATGTGATGATTATTTAGCGGAAATTACGTATTGTATAGAATATCACGTCCACCGTGGAGTTGAAAGACAACGCCCCCTCGGATCTGGTCAAAGTCAGCTACTTCTCCTCCTGCATGGGCAGCGGTGAGCGCAAGCGCACCAACGTCTGCTCCGGACTGCGCGTCGGCTCGGAGGTGAGTCGGCAGAAGGAAATATATGAAATAAATACGCTTATACACATATATTGGAACATGAAATATATGCTAGTAAATAAAATAACAAAATAAATCTAAATATATGAAATAAATATAAATTTATGAAACAAAATAATTGAATTTCACAGGAAATTTATTAATAAATACTCTTGAATTTAATTAGCTGGAATGCAGTTGATATTTACTTAGTTTACTCGTAATGCATTTTAGCAGAATTTCAGTTAACAAATATCTTAGTAATCCGGAATTTTTTAATCCAGATTTATTGATGCGATTAATTCTAAATGTAGCACACACTTGGTGGATTTTTCTATAATGGGATTTCTGCGTGTTCCCTAGGTGCGCTGGGAGATTGTGGTGGAGGTGATCAAATGCCCGGCCGGGCCGCCTCCCCACCGCATCCCCTTCAAGATCCGGCCGGTGGGGCTGGACGATGAGCTGCTGGTGGATCTGGAGGTGATCTGCGGCTGCGACTGCGAGCAGCCCGAGTACGCGCTGTACAACTCCACCAAGTGCAGCGGCAAGGGCACCTTCGAGTGCGGCATCTGCCGCTGTCCGCCCGGCACCTTCGGCCGCTTCTGCGAATGCACCTCCGACTCCATCCAGGAAGAGAATGAACTCTTCGGCTGTATGGCGTACGTGGCGCACAATCAGTTGTCGCCTGCTCTTTCACTATTTTTCCAGTTATTATTATTATGCGAATAACTGATAAATCTGTTACAAATAAATATCTAAATAATAAATAGTTTCTGTATTTATTATTATTATTTACTATTGATGTTTATTGTTTTTTTATGACATAGTTTTTCATATTAGTATTTTTTATAATATTGTTACAGTACTCAATTTGCTGAACTCAATTTTCATCTGCTGTTTCCCTCCTTTTCAAGTTATTGCTATCTATTATACGTACGAATAACTGATTGATTGATTAGTTTTTATTTATTACTATTATTTATTGTTATTGTTTTCTTTTTATAATTTTGCTTATTAACATTATCACTTACATTTATATAGTATTAGCGGTCGTTTGCTATTAGTTTTTGTTATCATTTTTTATTCTTAATATTTATTTGTTACTTTTTGATTATTTTGTTGTGCGTTCAGTTATTAATTGATTTCTTGAATTTATTGCCCAATATTATGCGAGTAATTATAATTTGATGATTTATTTTGTTTGCGGTAGAATTATTTGAAATTTATGGAATTTAGTAATGTGATCAAATATTATCTAATAAACTGAGCTAACTGAAAATTCTTTTCAGTTTATTACTGCAGTAGAATTGAACCATCGGTAGTAATTAATTTTTTCAACGCTGTTTTACAGACCCAACACGACAATCGTCTGCAGCGGGCGTGGCAACTGTGTGTGCGGGGAATGCGTGTGCTTTCCACGGGTAAATCCCCTTTTTTCCCTGTTTTTTTTATGTGGCGCTAATGGAGTATTTTTCCCCCTAAATTCAGGATGATGGGCACAGCGTGTATGGGAAATATTGTGAGTGTGACGATTTCGATTGTCCCCACTTCAACGGCCTTCCCTGCGGCGGTAAGAGCAGATGAAAAACTAACTTAATGATAATTAACAATTAATAATAAATTAATATAATAATTGGACTAATAATAAATGATACAAGTATTGGTCGCGCTAGCGCGCGACCAGTTGTGTTCGAGGTATGGAAGAATGAAAAAAATACAAAATATACTTCGTACAGCAATAAAAATCCTTTTGAGAAATATTTCAAATATGAAACCCCAGCGAGGCCAGCTACGAAAATATTTTAACATGTAGAAATGCGGACAATTTTCGAGCTTTCCGGTTAAATTCGACCAGTGTTATAAAAACTGTGAAAGCCTCCGCAATTTTTCTTTTTGTTTGCATTTTTCACGGTTTTAATGTAACTTTATATTGCCGATCTAACGAACTGAAAACTTGAATTTTTTTGTACGACCGATAATGTTTAAACGGTGACCCACAACAACCATTCAGGCGATATTTTAGCGCAGATTAATGGAAACTTGTGAGAAACAATTAACGGTTGCCAAAGTGACCTGGGAGGCTGCATCTTTAGCTACTAATTATAATATTTTCAGCAATTCAGTCAAGCTCTTGAGTATTTATAAAAATAAAATAAATACATATTCATTAGATTTTGAGGTTAGTGAATACCCAAGCTACCGCCAATATTACAGAGCCGCTATGTGGAATAGGGTAAACGGGCTTCGGGCTGGCTTTTAGGTATTTAAAAATTACATATAAATTAGACAATTTAGACCGTGAGATATTGAGGTACTCAGATTTCTAGATATTTTTAAATTTCGAAACTTTGGAGGCTCAAAAAATTAGAGGTAACGGCCCCGCTTCGCGGGGCCGAGTCGAAATATTTAGAAATTCTTGAAATGTAAATGCTTTGGAGCCGACTTTCGAAAAATTTATAGTTATTTTGAGGTACTCAAACAGATTTAAAAACATCCTAATGGTTTCAAGAATTAAAAAAAAATTATAAGTCTGATGGGATTGACAGTTTTAAATAACTATAGTTTAGGTTGCTAAGTTGCGAAACTTGTATTTGCTCATTCGAGACGTTTCTAGAATTTACCGGAAATTTCTATGAACTTTAAACGTTTAAGTACTGAAAGTTTGAAAGGGTTTTTGAAACCGTTCCGGAAACCAAAATTTTTTTCGAAGCAGCAGGTAGGAAGCTTTAGAAGATGCTGGATTTTATAAAATAATCAAAAGCTTCACAAATGGAATCTCGAATTAGGAGATAATTTCCAAAACTAACAACCTTTAAGTACTAACAAGCTTTAAGTACTACAACTTCTAAAACTTTTTTTAGACCTTCTCCAAAACTTGAGATTTTTTTAAAGATGAAGGTAGGAGCTTTTGCGCGATGCTCTATTTTATAAAATTATCAACTTATTGAAAAAACCAATCTTGATTTAGGAGATAATTTCCAAAAAATAAGGACGTAAGGATATATGAATCTATTGATAAGGGTATAAAAAATTAATAAATGATTAATGGTATAAAAAATAAAAATGGTGTTATTTGTCAGGACCGACGCACGGGCATTGCGACTGTAAATTCTGCATCTGCAAACCGGGCTGGACCGGGCCCAACTGCGGCTGCTCCACCGACAACAGCACCTGCATCTCCAAAAATGGGGTAAAATTATTTGTTTTTTTTGAAACGTTCGTGATTGTGGTAAAATATTATCGTATTTTTACGAAACTTCAGAATTGTTTACCCGGTTAAAAAAAGGATTTTTTTTGCGGCACTCATGAAAGTCAAAATAAAAATAAATACTTCTTGGGCGTCCTGAATTTGTCTCAATATCTCAATAGATTTTTTCAGCCTGAGCTTATTATTTATTCTTAAAAAGTCACTTAATACTTAACAGTAACTGTTGCGTTCACATTCTCACTATAAAAAAAAAGGGTAACTGGAAAAAACAATTTATGTTAAAAACGGAGCGAATAAGAAGTAAATTAAATCGAGATTTAAAAAAATTAAACGGGCCTGGTCATGAAAGTAGAACAAAAAAAATTAAATAAAAAATTAAAGATACATAAATGAGAGAAAATCTGTAAGGAGAAATCCATTAAATTTGGACATGTTTGCGTGGGCAGCTGGAATGCAACGGGCACGGGCACTGCGACTGCGGGCACTGTGTGTGCGACGTGGACCCGGTGACCAACACGCAGCTGTTCTACGGGCCCACCTGCGAGAACTGCCCCACCTGTCCGGGGATGTGCCACACCCTCAAGCCCTGCGCCCAGTGCCAGGCCTTCGGGACCGGCGAGCTGGAGGACGAGGAGGACGGCTCGCGCTGCCTCAAGAACTGCACGCTCTTCAACGCCACCCACGTCGACGCCGTGCACAGTACGTGCTACACAAAGTACCGTTAATAAAAGTTGTCAGATTGAATTAATAAAATATCATAAACTGCAGGCTGCAGCATTTAAAATACAAGGTATTATAAACGATATTTGTATTTATTTAAATTTGTATTTGTGTTATAGTTATTTGTATATTTGTATTGGTATTTATATTTGTATTATAAACGATATTATTGATTATTGAATTACGCAGTATATTATTCAATATTATCAGCAGTATTATTGTTCAAATATCATCCGCAGATATTAATTCAAAAATATTATTAGAAAATGCCGTTAAAAAATTCAGAAATTACCGTAAAGAACTATGTTAGCTTAAAATGATAAAATACCATAACATTAAAACATTTAAAATAGTATCAACCATATTACTGAATATTTCAATATAAAATAAATATTATCAACCATATTATTGTTAAAATAACATTCACAGAAAATTCAGAAATTAATACAAATATATTACTCGTATTATCGCTAAATTACTGTAAATTATTGCTGGATCCGATCCGCAATGCAATCGTCAAAATATCGACATATATATTATCGTTGTAAAATTCATGTTTGAGATTTTGTGGTGTGGTTGAGGATTATTGTAGAACGGCGGCCGTGAGGATAAAATGTTTTCGGGTATTTGACACATGTTACCGCTGACGCCGTATCGGTTGTAGTTTGTTATTTCTTATTTATTTTTTTTGTGAGGAAGCTTAATCTCTGTCCGCCACGGAAATGCGCTGGATTTTGAGAAGTAAAATGTGGTACAAGAAATAGGAAATGCTGTGTCAAATTAAGACAGTAAAAAATAATTGAGAATTTTTTAATAATAATTTAATATTAAAGAATAATTTAGAACGTGCAATTTTTACACATCTGCAGCGTTTTGATTTTTTTATTAAAACAAATACTCGCAATTTTTTTATCAGGTTAAATTGGTTTCGGAGTAAATAACCGCGTCCGAGTCTGTATGGGTTTGGTTGGCCTTGTTCTTTCTTTAGCGGACGAAGCCGGTTACTAAAAAACTATTTTTACAGTTTAAGATTAATTTGTGTTTGTCTGCAGAGGATATGCCGGGTGAAGAGATCTGCCAGTTCCGTGATGAACGCGATTTTTGTACCTTCTTCTTTTCCTATTACGACCACCCCGATACCGGCAAATTGGTCGTGGAAGTGCAGAAAACCAAAGGTGCGCCCTTGACTCTATCGGCATTGTTATTACTTTAATTGTACACTTTTCTAAAAATTAATACTTAACTGCTGCGTAATAGTATTTAAATATTAACTTTTTAGGGAGGCCATTTACGTTTGCTATCGGAATTATTGTTACTTTATTTCTACATTTTTTTTTAAAACGCAATAATTTGCTGCATTTTAATATTTACTTATTTTTGATTAGCTCTTAATATTAATCACCCTGATCACAATATTAATCACCCTGTATCACAATATTGATCACCCTGTATAATTGTATCTAAGGAATTGTTAAATGTGTTTAATCGGAATTTATTAAACTTATGAATTAATTTATTGTATTAATTTTGCGACATTTTCTATTTTCTTAACGCTGACATTTTTGCGCGCAATTTGTGCAGTGTGTCCGGAGGAAGTGCGCGCCTTACCTATTATCATCGGCGTAATACTGGGCATTTTGGCGGTGGGATTGGCGCTGCTGCTTATCTGGAAGATCCTTACCGTTATACACGACCGCCGCCAAGTGGCCAAATTCAACGCCGAAGTGCAGAACGCCAAATGGGACACGGTATGTATTTGTATATCTGCGTGTTTTTCTTAACATTTTTCCGGCTAATCGTTGATGATAAATAATTATTTGGATTCAGTCAGCTAACAGTTTGTTTTACCAATTTCCAGTGTTATTTTGAAGCACAAGATTTTAATTTACGTAGTGATTTTTTTCTTTCAGACGGTATGAACATTTGTTTTTTCTGAGTTGGCATCCTTTAAAACGTTTTAAAATATTCGATAATCGAAAATTTATTGTTAAAAACTGCGCCAGGAATTCTACTGGTTCGTGGCTCGTTTCTCGGAAGTACACGGAAAAACGTATTACAGCGGCTCAAGGTGCCCACATGGGAAGTACATGTAGTAAATGAAAGGTCGTCTCGCGTTAATCTTCAAGTGTACACGGAAAAACGTATTACAGCGGCTCAAGGTGCCCACATGGGAAGTACATGTAGTAAATGAAAGGTCGTCTCGCGTTAATCTTCAAGTGTACACGGAAAAACGTATTACAGCGGCTCAAGGTGCCCACATGGGAAGTACATGTAGTAAATGAAAGGTCGTCTCGCGTTAATCTTCAAGTGTACACGGAAAAACGTATTACAGCGGCTCAAGGTGCCCACATGGGAAGTACATGTAGTAAATGAAAGGTCGTCTCGCGTTAATCTTCAAGTGTACACGGAAAAACGTATTACAGCGGCTCAAGGTGCCCACATGGGAAGTACATGTAGTAAATGAAAGGTCGTCTCGCGTTAATCTTCAAGTGTACACGGAAAAACGTATTACAGCGGCTCAAGGTGCCCACATGGGAAGTACATGTAGTAAATGAAAGGTCGTCTCGCGTTAATCTTCAAGTGTACACGGAAAAACGTATTACAGCGGCTCAAGGTGCCCACATGGGAAGTACATGTAGTAAATGAAAGGTCGTCTCGCGTTAATTTTCAAGTGTACACGGAAAAACGTATTACAGCGGCTCAAGGTGCCCACATGGGAAGTACATGTAGTAAATGAAAGGTCGTCTCGCGTTAATCTTCAAGTGTACACGGAAAAACGTATTACAGCGGCTCAAGGTGCCCACATGGGAAGTACATGTAGTAAATGAAAGGTCGTCTCGCGTTAATCTTCAAGTGTACACGGAAAAACGTATTACAGCGGCTCAAGGTGCCCACATGGGAAGTACATGTAGTAAATGAAAGGTCGTCTCGCGTTAATCTTCAAGTGTACACGGAAAAACGTATTACAGCGGCTCAAGGTGCCCACATGGGAAGTACATGTAGTAAATGAAAGGTCGTCTCGCGTTAATCTTCAAGTGTACACGGAAAAACGTATTACAGCGGCTCAAGGTGCCCACATGGGAAGTACATGTAGTAAATGAAAGGTCGTCTCGCGTTAATCTTCAAGTGTTAGCTGCAGAAAGCATTTCATTTTTTGAAGCTGTATTTGAAAGAGTCGGGTGAGCGACTTTATTAACCCGGCTATGAATGGTTGATTTGTTCAGTCCTTTAATTAAATAACTTGACGTTTTTCCTGATAACGTTACTCTACTTTATTCCGATTTTATTCACTGGACGTAATTATAATCTGCATTTATAATTTGTAATAAAATTATGGGATCGTTTGAAGAAGTGTTTATTCCATTTACCCGGCTATTGGCGTATTTATTACTCAGCAATAATTTTTTAAATTATTGCGCTGGCAATTGTAATAAAAATATGGGGAAGGCTACGCACACCACTTTTTATTATTTTTTACTTTTTTTACAGAAACCACCGAAATCTCCTAACACCACCGAGAACAGATTGTGCACCACCATAGTCTCTTGACACCATTACTTTGAAAAATTAGTTTATGGCTATCACGGGCGCAAAAAAGATAGTTTTTGTCTCGCGGTGAGCCTGGTGGTGGTCAAAGGTGGTGTGCGGGGACTTTGGTGGTAAACGTGGTGTGTGCAGCTTTCTCCTAAAAATGTGTGCTTATGCAGTTCGGTAAAAACTTTTATTAGATTACGGTATATTTTAGGAAAATTATTATTATTTATTATTGCGTAGACTCGCCTAATTAAGTTATTTTAGTTATTATTTGTTATTAATCTATTTATTTGCTCAGTAATTTAATCCCTTAATCACTTGGCCGGTAGTTTTACTGGAATTTGTTTGCAGAGTGGAAACCCCATTTTCCGGCCGGCCACCAACACATACCGCAACCCGGTGTACGGCAACAAATAAATCGCAAAAAAAACGGAGAAAAAATTGGCCTTAATTCAGTCGGTTCTTCCTGTTCCTAAATCTGAGATGGTTTTTGTGTTTTTTTTGCCCGATAATCTTCCGCTTGGGAAGCGGCATAATGATGACCACTTCCCCCCTTCGCCATGGCAGCTGCTGCAGCGCGAACCCGAATCTGGAATTTTCTGTATTCTTAACATGTGCCTGAATTTGTAATTTTAATTTTTACGCGGTTTTATTGGGGATGTTAATCGTTAAAGCGGGATCTGACACGGGGCGTGGTTGTTTTCTAACCTTTTTGATCTGTTTGAAGAATTTCTAACTTTGACTGGACGTTCATGGTTGTTTTTCTGCGGGGAAACTGGACCAATACTGGAGAGTTGGGGTTGGTTTTGCATTGGTGGTTTGTGTGTTTTTGTTGTAGTTTGTGTTTTGGTGGGAGGTTGTCCGTCTCCTGGTGACCTTTGTGCATGGCATTTTCTGTCTCCTTTTGTGATTTTAACGTGTACGCCCCCTCAGGATCATGGTAACGATGTTACAAAAAAATAAAAAGCCGAATTATGAGTCGCGAAAGTACAGATAAGTGGTAATTATGCCTACTTCTAATAATTAAATAAAAGTCATAAAAAAACTTCAGATAAATTATTCGACAAACAGATGCTTACTTTGCACTATATTATACACTATGCTGCACACAGCTAATTCAAATGTCTTAACGCGTTTATCATCTTGGGTTTAGTGCGAATTGTGCGGTCTAATTGTAAGGAGAAAATGAAATTCATATACATTGTACATTATACAGTAATTCAACCGCCTTCGTGTTTGTTATTTGAACTAATACATAAAAATGCACGTAACCGATGTTCACAGATCACGATCTCCATAAACAAGGAAATCAAAGCACAATAGACGAACTTGCATTTACTTGCAGCAAATTATTATTTTCGAGTTATCATTGCCATATAAGCCTTTTTTATATGGATTCTGAATTTCTGATGACTGCTAATTACCGCAGTGCTACACATAAACATGCGTGATAAAATAAAAGGCAATCACAGCACAATACGCAGCATTCGCACCAAGAATAAGCCTGCTGTTGGATCCACCTGGATACGAGAAAATGGGACGTCTGGCCGAGCCGCGCTAAAAGTCGCAAAAGACGGCTGGGCCGGTATAGTACGAGAATCTCAAAATACTGGTACATAAACCTCAAAATAACTGCAAACATAATTGCAAAATTATGTACTCAGTACATACTGTTATACGTATGTCTTTGTTTTGCGAAACCGGAAATACCATACAAGCTCCATGAAAAACTGCACGCTATCGTCCCGAACTTTAGCGCTACATTTCGGATGCAGTATGTATCGCGTTTATTCGTTGTTTTTCAAAGTGGGCGACATATTATTTTCGATACCAACAAAGCTCTTCAACACTTTTGCGTACATATATAAGCGATGTTCAGCATATTTTAAAGTAGAGAAAACAACAACAGAGTCTCGTTCCGCCTACAACCACAGAGGATCCACACACTGCATACCGCAGCCGTTGCTGCAACACTTCTGGTCATCCAGGCAATGATGATCCCCACCGCACATCTGGGCGCAGGTACCCATAGGCATATCGACCAGGCGGGGGCACAAGCCGGATTTCGGGACACCTACCGAAAGAAGAAACGCGTTTGTTAACGTAATTTCCTAAACCGCCACGCCTTGCAGTTGAATGGAACAAAACGCCGGGGTCACTTACGGACACATTTGGGGATGCGAGGGCACGGGGTGCCGACGGTGCAGAAGATGCTAGGGTTCATGTGCTGGACGCACTGGTAGCCCTCTTGACGGCATCGAACTCCCTGTGCAAACAGGACATTGCAGACTATCTAATTTATTTTGCGTTGAATTGAATGATAAGATAATTTCGCGTTACTTAAAGAAAACACAGAGCACTTTGCAATTATTTTTTTCGCTTATAGGTACATATGTAATTCAAGCAGTACCTCGCAAACGTTGGGGAACTGGAATCCTTCGGGAACTGCAGAGAATAAATCATTTATATTAGCTTAGAAGAAAATAACTCTGGGTTGCGGTTACTTACGGACAATGGCAGCGCTGAGGGACGCCACCGCCAGGACGAGGCAGACGCATACAATGGAGTTCATGATGAAGCCGTGGGTAGAATACCGAGAGTAACCGGTTCCAGCGCAAATCTAGTTGTACGAAGTGTCCGAAATGTGTAGTGTGAAAGGTAAAAGCAGAGCGGAAGCAGTTTATATCGGAGCGATAGCATTCAACCAGGTTGCAAGTTAACCTGCTCCAGTAGCTATTGTTGTGGAAATGAGCGGCACTTTTTGTACTGATAACACCTTTACTGTTAAAGAATGCGTTTTATCAGCTGCGCTGAAAACACAGAATTCACGTGGGGCCTGGGTCGAGATTGAGGATTTATGGCTAATTGTTTTCTGTACTGTTCAAATAGTGAAATATGGGGAAACGATAAGCTACTGCAACTTTTTAGTGCAACAGCCAAAGTTCTTTTTTAATGTGGCAAAGTTGGGCAAATCTATGCCATTATCTGCCATATAATATATTATTGCTTTGCGATAAGGCATCTGGAACGCCGCATGTAACTGCACTACATAACAATATTATTACCATCTCAGTATAGTATTGTCTCTTCCGAATGTGTGGTGATTTTGCATGAGTCTGCAACAAACAACGCATTTGCATTTTGCATATTATATCGCTCTCAATAATTTTTATATAAAGATATACTGCATAATAAGTCTCGTTTCGTAAAGAAAATCAAAAAAAGAAGAAAATCAGATTTTTAAAAACTTGTAAAACAATAACTCCATTACTCTTCCTGAGTCTGCCACACACGATTTTCATTTCTTCCAGTACCGGAAGTTCGAAATTTTTTTCCATGTACTGCATTTTACGTTTTCACAAATTAGAGTTTTCCGGGAAATCATAAATAGTTACGTAAGACAGGAAAATAGTTTCCACATGAATGGAAGCTAGCAACAGGGAAGCCGCTCGTATGCATTAAGAACTAAACGTCTTCCAACGACTTTGTTTATACGCGTTTTCTCAGGCAACCGAAATATATTGCGAAAGTTTAAAATCCCCGTACAAACTGTTGTGCATACGCGTATTTATTAATAATATTTACATATACAAAGCGTACATTCACTTAATACACGTATTCGTGTATCGCCAACGGTAACTTAATACCATTCCTGTATTGTAAGTATTGTGGGCTGTTGTAATTGGTAATATCGATGGGATGTGGTTATTGCTGGCGGATGCGGAACCAATCAAAAAATAATGAACATCAGCAACTGTTAAAGTGACGTATGTAAAATACACACCACAGCCATTTTCAACATCACAATACCGATTACTGATAGCATCACGTTTCCCGGCCCGCGGCCACAGCAGAACATTATTGTATTAGAATTTTTTCGTTCGGCGCAACAGTTCAAACACGGAAGCCAAGACGAGCAAAAGCTTCTTTTGTACGATAGCAACGGCAAAAGCTTCTTTTGTACGATAGGTGCATTACATTAGCTAACCGGTCTGTCGGTGCGACAGTAACAGCCGTATATTGCGCTGCGGGTGATCATTCATCAAAAAACAAGCCCATATGACGCGACTGCTTATGTTAAAGCCAAGCACGTTGTTTGACTGGAAGCAGTACCGAACCGGAACCAGCGAAGATTGACATCGACCATACGCGTGATGCCGGTTTATAACGGTTTGGTGAAAATTTAATTACAGCTGATTCTGTTGGCATATAAAAGCTCATTCAACCCATTACATACTTAAATGTGTTTCTCTCGTAGCTCGACAAATTTTCATGGTTTACAGCAAAGCAGTACTTCCGTCGAATATGGCGATTTACATTTACGCACCGTTTTTGGATCAACTAACATCCACGCTGTCAAGTATCGACTCGGTAAAATGCGTTGAGGATTTTTCTACAGTTTTCTCCAGTTCGGATCATCCGGATGCCGAGCATTGGTTTACCTGTGATGATCGTCTTCAAGTGCTTCGGTATTTACAAAATGTATCGCAACACACTGCACATTTATTCGCTTCCTGCGAAACCGATATCCCTCAAACCAACAAAATTGTGGAGACCTCCCGGCGTATCCATGGTCATTTAAACAATTTAGCGGGGGAATTGCGTAAATGCCTGCAGTGCCCGGAATCCCGCAGCTCCTGCCATTCTTTAATTATGAAATCGTTCAAGGACGCTTTCAAACAACTTCAACCGATAAAAATGCTGGATGATCTCTACAAGGTGATTATCACTGGCGCAGAAGCGGAAAGTAATTTCGAAGTCCTCTATGAACAGTCCAATTCTGTGTCGTCAGCCTGTTTCAAGGAATGGTGCGAATTCGCTATTTTGACGTGCTTCCGAATCCATCTGTTCTACATGGTTTATCTTAACCAAATCCAAGAAATGGATTTCCCGCAAATTCCAGTTGATTATGATGCCATGATCGCTAAATTCGCAGACATTATGGATAGGCTTCATACCGCCATGCAGCAGGGTACCAAGCGATTCTTCACTCCCAACAATATTCAACGAACGGAAATTATGGAGCTGATTGACGGATATATAACGGAATTTGATCGCGAACCCATGAGCCATAACCGCGAGATCGCCGACAAAATCGGAGCGAAATTAAATGAGATTTCCCCCGATTATGCTTGGTGCGTTGTCGTAGCCGAAGATACTTCAAAAATGCGCAACACTATGATCTATTCTGATGACCACGCCCAAGCACTTTTTCTCCAAGAATCGATCCACTGGCAAACCGTTCCCCTGATAACGCAAATGCAAGCGCCGCGTCATGAAGCTTATTCCCAAGGAACTGAGTGCGGCGTCGTGACCGTTGCGAAAAAGGTCGCGGTGGGAATGGAAGCACATCAGCGCCGTATCACGGTCTTCTGGAAGAAATTAAGGGACCAGAATTTTGATCTCGCGCCGGAAGCTCGGGAAGTGTTGAGTAAAGTGGATGTCCGCGACCTCGTATCAGTTTCCGAAGAATGCGTGAATAACCGCAACACTGTACGGAGTCCAGCGCAGGATCATCTGGAGGATGCGGTGTTCGGAATGAATGTGGATTATGTCGTGTGCATGGGACTGCAGCAGTCGCGAACCGGCGGGGAGTTGGGTGTGTACAGTAGTCGTAACGGATGGCTACAGCATGTGGAAAACAAGAGCGGACATATATTACTGTGGTTGTGTGAAGCTTCGCCGGCAACACTGGAGTACCGAGTTAACAAGTCTACGCTGTTCAAAGGCTTGAAGGCCATGTCCATGGCTTTGCTTCCCAGCTTGGAGTAATTTTTCTTGAATTTCAGTGACAGACAGTTGCGCTTTTTTGTACTCTTAATTCGAGTATTATTTTTCGGTGCTACAGCTTTTATACTGCCATGGTTAGCTCAGGATGTTCAGTTTCTTGCGAAGAAATGCTGTTGAATGTGATAATTAATGTGTGTTTTGCCATTATCGGAAGACAGGCACTAAGGCAGCTGCATAAAAATAATGAAATATTTCTGAAAGAAGTACTTCAGAGTACGAACTACGAACAATTCGCTGATCAACGCGAGAAACTGCGAAAACACTCACAACAGCCAAAGAATATTATAAGCTGATAGATTTGCAAACGCTACTGTATTAAATACATAACTCTATTTAGCACAGTTGTGTGGCACAAGTGCAGATCTATTGTAGCGGGTGTGTTTCTGGCAGCCACCCTAAATGCCTCAGGTAACATCCTGAGGCAACATCCGACACTGGCATTTAGCGCTGAGCTGTAGCGCTGTAACTGTAAGTACTGGTAGGATTTTCTGTGGCTGACTTGGCCTTGCAGTTGCGTTTTTGACTCTCAAATTCAGTAGAAGTACAGAAGTAAAGTTCACCGCGCTATATCTGTTTTACTTGTTAGTATTTAGTAAACCCCGATTGAACTTGTCAATATCATGGCCGAGAAAGCTTTTCGGGAACTACGGGACATGCAGGCCACAGGAACCCTGTGTGATGTTACGCTGAAAGGTGCGGAGGATTCTTCAGCTGGCATACCTTGTCATCGCAACATCCTTAGCGCGCACAGCTCGTATTTCCGCACAATGTTTACGACTGATCTGAAAGAGAGGTCCGAATCCAGCATCCGATTAAAGAACATCTCCACGAGCACGCTGAAAGAGTAAGTGTTTACTAGCACACAGAAAGTGGCACAGAATGGTTCGTTGTTTCTGTGCCTTTTTACTGCTGTATACCTGGTGGATTTATTATACTTCTAAAAAAAATCAGTTATAACAGCTAGCGTGAAAACGATTGCATTGTCTAGTCTGGTTGATTATGCCTACACAATGGAAATCAAGATCGATGCGCACAACGTGGAGCCGCTTTTGACAGCAGCGCTGTTTCTGGACCTTGTGGCCGTCGTGGATTTGTGCTGGACGTTTGTGGAGAAGCACATGGATGTTGGCAATTGTCTGATGGTTCACTGCTTGGCCGATCGGCATCATAATACCCGATTGGCCGCGAAAGCCAAAGCCATGGTTCTTCGTAATTTTGCCCTGATTTCCCAGTTAGCTGATTTTCTGCTCATCGATGGAGAAAAGGTTTGCCAGTGAATTATCAAAATTCATTGCAGAACAGCCGAAAAACTAACGATAGACTTGTAAGCAGTGATGTGTGTAGGTAACCGAGCTGATCGCGTCGGATAATTTGCGTGTGGACAAAGAGGATGACGTGCTGGAAGCAGTTTTGCGCTGGCTGCATCACGATCCAGCCGAACGGCAAGCGCACCTGTCTCTCATGTTGCAGTTTGTGCGGGTGGTCTTCCTCGGCCCTAACGCCCTGGAGAAGTATTTCTTGGCACTCTTTAATGGGTTTCTTAGCACAGCGGCTGTCGATTCTACACCGTCGCGGATTACAGATGCCTTGCCAAACCGTCTGGCAGAGGCCGTCGAGGCTCGTTGTCGCCCCCGGGAATCGTACGGTAGGTCATTGCGAGCTCCATTCCAGCATTTATATGGAGCGCAGAGGGATGCTGTATTATTGTGTATTTGTGCGACCTAAAAGCAGAAGTTCTTCGTTTGGTGTACGTATCCCTTCGGCGCGTTCAAGTAGCCGCGCGTGAGAAGGCGCTGCAATCGGCTGATCGTTTCTTAAACACAATCATGAATGCGTTGAGTGATTTTAGTTTATTGATGATGTGAACGCACATAATTCTATGCGTAAAGGTGGTTTTTACGCCAAATCACAGTTCTAATATTTTTTTTGCATTTTGTCTTTTGAAGTGAATTTTTAGATCCTTAAAATTCATTTTAAAACGTAAAAATGCTCGTTTAACTGGATTCAGTATAAAAGCGGTAATTTTATCCGGCTTTTATCTGCAAAATCGGTCCATAATGATACTTTTGGTAGACCTGAATTCATTTAAAGTTTAAATTATTCTGTTGCTCACATTGCCAGTAACCCTTGAATTTTTCTTGGCAGGTTTGCGGAAAGCGGTTGTTTGCGCTGGCGAGTGGGAAGATGCGGATGCTCCTTCCGTGGACGTTTTCATACCATCGTCTTCCAGTGTTTTATGCATCGCCAGTCTTCCAGACCACATTAATGCTCCCGGCTTGGCGGTGCTGGAAGATGGGTCGCTTTTAGCGTGTGGTGGACGTTCCGGTCCCGACGCCGAGCTCCAATCCGAAGGACGAGTTTGGCGTTATGAACAGGCTCGCAACGGGTGGACTGAAGTCTCACCAATGCGACAGCCTCGTTATGGGATGGGCGTGGCTACGTGGAACGGTTGCATCTATGCCGTTGGGGGTGCTGATTTGCAAGCTCAGAATTTGTCATCAGTGGAGTCGTACAACCCACAGGAAAATCGTTGGCAGTTCGTGGCTGATCTGCCAGAGGCATTGACCGAGTTCGCCATGGTGGTGTTTGACAATCGGCTCTTCGTGTTCGGTGGGACGAATTCGCATCTGCAGTCTGTTAACAGCGCCTACTCCTACGATCCTGTAGCGAATATGTGGACCAAGTTGGCCGACATGCCGACGGCGCGATGCGCCTGCTCTGCTTGCGTGGATAATAGCGGAATAGTTTACGTGATCGGTAAGAAGTACGAGATGACCTGTTTGGCGTAAGAAGTAAATGATAACATTTTCCTGTAATCCAGGAAGACCAACTTGACAATATTTTTATTATGTTCCAGATAACAGTAAAAACATTGGGCGTAACTCTAAACACCGTCAACCGTACAAGAACATACAAAACCATCTGCTCAACTATACACAAACCGAATTTTCCTGTAATGAAATACAGGCTCGAATAAATGTCCAGGAAAGCAGAATTAGGCCTTCGCCAAGCACCCGTAGACTTCTTATTTAGATACGGCGAGGCGGAGTTGTCTCTTCCTCCATTTGAGGAACCACATAAACTGCTATAGACTCTACTATGTGCCTCCTCATAGCTTTGCATAAACCCTTATAGTTTTGATTCAAATAGTACTTGTCGGTTGTATCACGTTTACGTATTTACTGGACATATAGGTGGAGAGGCCGAAGACGGGCGTTGCGTGGAGGTCTATAACACCGCTACCGACCAATGGCAGAAAAGACGTACGTATGACAAAGCATGCCTTAAAGTTGTCTTGGTTTTGACCCTGTATTATTGCATCATTCCGCCTTCGGTCGTACTCGTGTTCATTTTTTTTATTGATTCAGGCGGTACAATCGGACATCGGGATTCAGCTGTCAGTGCGTGCTTGGGCGGAAGGATTTTTGTCATGGGCGGGATGGATAAGTCGATCGAATACTATAACGAAGACACCGACGTGTGGACGCTGCACAGCTGTCAGCTGCCGCATTCAAAATTCCTTAGCGGTGGCGCTGTGATGACAATGAAGTCGGCTGGGTAAAGCAACCGAACAACGATGCAGCCGTACGGATGGCTAACTTACCGACATCCCCTTTCCTGTATTATAGGCAGGCCACGTAGGTGCGCATCTGACCAGTAATGTGGACGAATAGCCGACATCACCTGCGAGATATTTTCCGCGCAACTTACAAGAGTACCATGGCGTTCTGATACGGGTTCATGGTACACTGGTGGAGGTCAATTACATTTGGGTAACTGTTGCGCGTCGGGTAATGGAGAGAACGCGTAAAAAATTAGCCATGACTCAGCAGAAAACAATCGTCCAATCGTCAGTCAAGTACGCTTCCGTGCCAAGAAAGAAATTGAACACCGAAGTGAAACTGAAAAACTCATTTTTAATGCTGTAATGTGGTATTACGTCAAAAAAGTTATTATGAGTTTTGGATTGCGACTCTGGGTCGTTGGATTTACTTATGGTCCAAACACATACAAATTTTGTTGATCTGTGCAGGAGAGTTACGAGTTACTCGTAGTTTGGGTAATGGTTGCGCTTCGACGTCGAAGCGAAACGCTTACGCGGACAAGTAAGCTGAAAACCCATCCCAGATTTTGTGACTGCGAATCAGAATGTTTGCTTGGTTACGCGCTGTTACGTCACATTTTTTTCGCGTTTTCCCGTTACCCGACGCGCAACGCTTACCCAAATGTAATTGACCTCCACCACTGTTCTGTTATGTTCTGTTGCCGCACCACGTGGCAGATGCCTTTTTGGGAGTCTGTTTGTTTTGTTTTTTGGCATAGTACGATGGGAAACAGATGAGTTTATGACGATAAGTTAGCGTGTTTAATGATGGTTTGCCCAGTCGGTACAGTATTTGATTTGTTCGAGAATTAAGGGACTGCATTATTGTAACACTCGAACTATTTCACGATCGATTTACGTCGAATATTTCTGTATGTCGTAAAGGAAGATCGATTGATTTTGCAAAGTGTGCTTCCAAACAATACCAAAGTTAAATTGTTCGTTATGAACTTATAACTATTCCGTAAGTTTAATTTTTTTAACAGAAGCAATTCAGAAAAACGCGACTTATCGTGACAAAAACAAAACCAGGAGCAGAATGGGAATTTTAAGGAAACTGGCACGATAAAAACCGCGTTAGACTGCCACAAGGGGCCGTCGTGATTGCTTCAGCAGAGTTAGAAAAAGCTGTTCATAGTGGTATCTATTAAATTTACAAAATATTCTAGGGTAGCTTAACATCAGTACTAAAAAATGCAATATTTTCGGTTGAGTTTAGGCATCTTCATCAACCAATACAGCGGAGTTGAGCAATTTATTGAGAATATCGAAGTATAGTGGTATAATGTATATACAGATTAAAAGTACTGATTTACACATTTGCAGTATATCGTGATGCAGTACACGTACTTATATCTCGCACCTTACTCGTCTTATGACTCTTATGGCCTCCTATATGGACAGAAGATATGTTAAAACAAATTTTGCAGCTACTGTCGTGCGTAACTGCACGTACTTTATGGCTGTCCGTTGCATGATATTAAAAGAAGCTTGTGAAATGCATCAGAGAAAAATTATAAGTTACGGCAACACTTTCGCGCATTGCAGGGAAATTTGACATTCAGCGGGTCCCATTGCAGCATACGATGGTATATCATTAATTTTTTGTACAATCATTCTGAATAAGCAGGAAAAAAATTCCGAGCCAGCAAGCGGAAAGAAACCTTTCCCAGTGCAAAGACAACCGCATACAAACAACGACTTTTGAGCCGTGGTCTGAACTCTTAAGGGGACTATTGGCAGTAGAAAGCGGGTTTGGAAGAACAAGAATGGTTCGAAAACGATGGCAGATATGTGTTTTCACAACTTTGACTGAACGCAGACAGCATCGCAGCACACCATTGTAGCTAAATCCTTTCTGCGTTCTGGCAAAGTCGTGTAAACATCTATTTGGCCACCGATTTCAAACCGTTATCATGTTTCCAACCCTTTTTCTATTACTAGTGACCCCCTTAAGTATCTCAACCGGAAGCCGGGTGTCTTGGTCTTTAAGGAGAGGCGGAACTGCATCGCCTGCCCTGTCGTCTAAATGAAGCTGTGATGTACCTATCCCACGTCAGCTGCAGAGCGCTAGGCCGGTATGAATAGGAATTACCGTGTCCCTACCACGCAGATCAGCGGCTTACCGGTTTATCTCGGTAATGAAAACTTAAAAGTATAACCGGGAAAAATCATTATGGAGAAGTACCGGTTACGTACAGGTTGTGTCGCCCGATGAAACAGATACAGCCTACGTAGACAACAGCTTTTTTGTCAGTAACTAATACTAACTATTTACTCTAGGCCGGGAAATTTAAATTATTCACCGTTCTACACCTGTACCAGCTATTATTACTTTTTAGATATGAATCATATGACCAAGCAGTTACTGCGAAGCTCACATACGTTATATATAAGCCTTACTGCACATTTATTTATTTTAAACACTAGCGTGGTCTGATACGTTTATCAAGGTACATTGTTTCGGGTTCGATAGTAAAGAATATCGAAGTAAGCGTACCGAAAACATAATCTTAAGAACGGTTTTTACAAATTTTGGTGAGAATCCAGAGCAGGATGCTTCCTTCATTGCCTGTTGTGCTAAGGCATCCTAAGGCTTCGGTCGCATTAGCAATACGACAGGGTGTTGTACCTTCTGAAAAAAATTTTTAGAAAGCAATATGCGCTTGGGTTGACTAAATGTAAATTTTTCAAAAAGTGGACACACTTGGCTGAAACACCCTCTCCACATACTACACATTTTTTATCTATCCCTTCTTTTTACCTGCATTGAGTGCATTCTTATAATATAAAAACAAATTACTTGCAAGTAGTCGTGATATATTTGCCAAATGTTACAGCTGCACATCTGTACACCCGGGACATCCCTGTTCGCACGAGCCTCCTCACTTTTTCAACTAGCCCGCCGATCGTGGCGATGAGTCGGCACACATTTCAAAGAACGCAGCTATGAATGGTCGTAGAAATCGCTTTGCTATCATCGTTTTCTTGAGGAGCTAAATATAAAACAGAAACTAACCGCGTTGCGAACAATTATTAGACTGTGCCGCCCCACTTTAGCTGCCATACGTCGACGTATTCTTCCCACCCCCTAAAGCGCCGAGAAGCCAAGGAAACATATTACGCATCGCCATGCTACTTCGATCTTCCCAGTGTCGTTTTGCACTGCGCACAATAATAAGCAGCTATCAATGGGTCCCTGGTGTGCGTTGCTTACGAAAGGCTTGAGAACGCCACACAAGCATTTGATGGCATAGTAACTGGCATTCACTGATTGTATCTGCAGAAGTGCGACTTCATTAGTAAAATGCCGCAAGGGACGCTTATTAGAACAAATGACGTGCAAATCCCCTGTATCTGCTAAACCGTAGTGACCCAGAGCCTAAAATCTTCAAAATCTATGTGAGCACACTTAAGTTCGCAAAGAGGGTGGTATTGATTATTTGCTGTGTATTTTCATACTGACTGACTTCATATTGAGTATGTATGCAGATAGAATTCGCGTTGGCAAATTCACAAAAAATTTTAGGGACATGCGTATCTAGTAAAACTGGCATTTATTACAAAAAACATGAGCTGTGAAATGGCTGAAGTTGTTCGTTTTTTCTTGTGCAAATGGTTGGTCAGTACTACAATGGATCTTTTCCGTGAATTCTTTGAGCATTGAAGCCTCGCGCGAAGCGCGAAGCCGACGGTGCTTTTTGGCAAGAAAATACAAGATATTCAATAAATTTACGTTATTTTTTCAGAAATATTTCGGTTTGTCAAATTTGTTGAATAGATGTATATAATATATATAAAACTGGCGAAGGTTCTGTGTTGCGATTCGTTTTATCCCGTACTCTAAACATGGCAGGGGCTAGGCTGCATTGATGACCTTACGGTTGACATTCGGCAATGGTGTCCGTTTTGGACCAGGCGAACTGGTCTTTGATAAAGAGGAAGTAAACTAAAATAACCTCGAGCTTGATCGTTAAGATATTCTAATGGTTGACTAACAGTGCAACTAGCAGCTGTAAAACTATCGACAGGTGGATATCTGTATATATGCGCCACTACCCACCACGTTTAAACGTTATCATTTACAGTAGACACTGGGCAAGTTTTAAAGTTACCATACTTCTGGCTCTGGCTGTATAACTCAAATGCACTATTGTGCATTTGTTGAACATAGTAATAATGCTGTTTCGAAGGGTAAATCCAACAGCGGAAATGAGAAAACCGTAGGTTAGCAATTTCGAAAAATTTAGTAATAAATGTGGCTATAACAAGATCCCTATTGACATAATTGGTATTATGCTGTATGACTTTACGGTGCGCATGTACGTGTGTTCCCTGTTGTACTAGCGATGACGTATGATCCGTGTTCTTATCGGTAGCCACCGATCAGAAGCTGCGCTTCGTCATCGGTTAGCATTCAGTAGTGTGTGTGTGACTTGTGTTGAGTGAACATCAACAAGATTTAAAGTGAGTAACATCATTGGTTAGTTGGTGTTAGTGCTGTGAGTGACCTTCGTTTAGGGAAAGCAGTAGTGTGTACGTAGGCGGAAGTTACTGTGTGGTATTCCTGTAGTGTGGTGAGAATGTGTTTGTGGCACCTGTTGTCTGCTGAAGTAGGCAACAGAAACAAAACCAATCCCCAGAGTTCCTTCTCTGCTGACTGCGTCAGGTTGGTAGTAATACACGCGGTGCGTGTAGTATGTCACTATAGTTTCCATTACGCAGGTGGCATTCCCTCTTTAACTCTCTCTGTAAATGAACACTTTGTTGCTGGAACAACCCTTAGAAATTAGAATACCGCATGTCTGGCAAGAAAGGTCGTTCTCTGAGATGACTACATGATCATCCCCGTGAAAGCTGAAGCATGCGATACTTGTCCAGGATATGGCACTGTCACCGCGAGCAAATGCGTGGCTTGCATAAATTTTAGATTTTCCACCCCACTCTGCCAACTGAAGTCAACTAAGAGAACGTAACCGTTTCTCTGAGTTTGCTGATTAAAGATTGCTTTTCAGTGTTATACGAGCCTATGCACGCTGCAAAGTGCGTACGAAAGACATTTACTGTATACACGTGCTAACGTAAACAGCGCGGGTGATTTTACTACGGTCAACAAGTGCACTATTGTGCACGTACGTTCTGCAGCGACAGAAGTGTGATTACTATAAAACATGCCCACTGCCACATCTCCCACTGAAATTTAACGTGGCACGCATTGGCTTATAGCTTTTTCTTGTTTGTTTGTGAAAGATTTTGCTTCCTTAAAAAGTAAAAAATCAATTTAGAAGCCGGTTAACTACCCAGAAGGGGGGAGTATTGGCAATTTTTAAGCACAAGTTCTAATCTATGTGAGCACACGCACCTTTATGTGAGCACATTTTGTGCTATGTGAGCACAAGTTTTTAGGCCCTGCCGTAGTCACGTGGAGATAAGCTTCTTACTGAACAAGCAACAGGCGTGTCATTCACAGAATATTCGCCCCATCAGTAGCAAATGCGTTTTTAAGGAAGCCGTTTAGCTTGACACACACGGCTTTAACAAGGGAGCCCATAAAAATCGACCTTCTGCCGCAGTACTAATCGTGCATGGATTTACCTTCTTTCGTGCATGGATTTATTTTCCACCACCCCGCAACTTCATCGCTCAGCATCCTCAAACTGTCTTGAAACGTTGAATGTACATTGTTTTATTAATGAATCGTTGCGTGCTGCTGACGATATTTTTCCAACTGTGTTTTTCGGGAACAGCATTGATTAGTATCCAATATGTGTGTTTGTATCGGACACGATGAATGTATCCTTGAACTATACAGCATATTCTAATAAATCGCT